TCATATACTGATTTGTTTTTGTATAACATGTGCGGCATATAGTTACTATTCAGTATTATTGGCATATTTTTCTTTTTAGTTATTGACTTTGTGAATTTGCCATTAAGTTTTAACAGTGTTCCTTCTAACATTTGGTTTAAAAATGTTAATTTGAAATCAGAACCTGTTTCTTCATTATACATAAAATCATAATCATCATCCTTATAATCTGACCAATCATTTTCTTTATTCATTAGATATGCTCGATGGCCACCTTGTTCTAATACATCAATGTTATATGTCTTACCTACATTTGATGGACCTACAATCCAGTATTGTGGTATCTGATTTTTACCACCAAACATTGTTTCACTACCAAACATAGACCACTTATGTAATTTATTTCCAGGGTTATTTTCCATATCTGCATCATGAAAGTAAGAATTTAAATTTGATTTTACAGTATCATATTTCCATAGCAATTCTGGATACATTTCGGTAGCCTTCCACATATTAAGCTGCTTAGTAATTAATTGATATCCAAGTAACTGTTGGTGCATTTTTCTAGTTTTAGTTTCATAATTTGGATCCATATTATAACAAATATAATCTTTTCCTTTCATACAATAGCTAATAGACTTTTGTGGATTACCACCTGGTTTAATATTTGGAGTAACACCATCAATAGTAAAGAATTTACGTGCTGTTTTTGTGTCGAACCGCTCTTGTATCCATATGTATACATGTTTCTCATTGGTTTCTGGTGCAATTTCATCACATGCAATTGCCTTTTCAATTCGATAACCAATACGTTCATGTTTTATAAACCATTCCATAATTTACTCTTTTGTTAAACGGATGCAACACCATCAATAAGTCCCAAAGCCAAGGCGAAATCAACATCAACAGCTTCGAGCAAATTGTTGACTAAAGAAGAAAAACAAAAATTGACAAGATGTTCGCAAAACTGGATCCGGAAAAGTTCTGGACACTCAAAGCAACAGAAAAAGAAGCCGCAAAAAAGAAGGAGAAGCCCAAAGCGGTTGAAGAAAAAATAATGGAATTCGCACGAAAATGCAACTACCACCCGTAAGTAAAAAAAAAAAACTTTTCCTTGATATGTTATGCTTAACCATGGATGCTCAAATTAAATTACTCATTTTTACACCAGCCTAAGTCAATCATTAATCCTTGATCTTAAAGACGATCATTGGGAAAGCGTTTTCACCACAGACGAATTGGGCGAATTAGAAGAAGATCATAGCAACCCGCTGTTGTTGCCTGTGACCGAATGCATTGCTGATAAGTTGACCGAACTTCTTCAAACAGTAGTAAGTTAAAACAAACACGGATTATGATGATTGTGGTATATTCTTAACCCTTTTGGTATTATATCGCTATTTGTAGAAAACGCCCAAGGACGTTTATAAATATGCACAGAAGATTGACCACGATCCTATCGATGATCCTCTTCTCGCATGGTTGACGATGACTTTGATGTCTGTTTCGCTCCTTTGCATGAAGCATGCTGATGTCAAGGAAGGATATCTTGAGTCCGACAAACAATACCAGATGTGGGGCTTCATCAACACTGTCTTCATTGGCTCGCCGCTCACCGCTTACAGGTATGCGATAGCAATTATGCACACCATCACTTTAATAACATATGAACTAACGCATTATTTCAATGATTGTGTTTTTATATATCATACAGCAAAGAAAAGTCTAGCAAAGCAAACGCAACAGCATCCAATAGCAAGCGCAAACTTTCTGCAGTTGAAGAAGTTCAACGAAAGGCGATGGGAAGAAAAATGGATGCCATTTATATCAGTGGTGGAAAGGAACTGGGGTGCATGGAAGTTGTAAGCGAAGCAGATCAGACGAAGGAATGGAAAGATGGTATGGTGAAAATGCCCGTTGTCATGTAAGACCAACTTCGGGAGATTGTCCAAGAAGCACCCGAGCTGATTCGCAAGGTTGAGGGGGGTAATGGGTTTAACATGAAACAGTTATTTACATATCCTCCTTTAGAAGGGTAATGGGTTTAACACGAAACTATTATTTACATATCCTCCTTTAGAAGGAAAGAAAACAAACATACTTCTTTCCTTCTAGATAGGATCTTATTCAGACATACCTTTTCGAGGTGGATTCTATAAGTATCATTATTTAATGAGAAACTAAATGTCTTTATTTTTTAAAAAAAGAGTGTTATTTAATTGATGCTATCTAATTTTATTAATTTATTAAAAAAAATGTTTACAAAAATGTCTTTTAAAATTTTAGCGATCGCCCTATTCCCCCTTCGTATCCTGCGATTAACTTTAAACTTAGTTTGTGTTATTTCTACTTATTGGTTTAAAATAATTATTTATGGATGTAATAGATTATTACAAACTTATTATTCTTTATTACAGAATAATATTCTATCTATTCTTAAGTTTATTAAACATAAGTATTACTATTCTACAGATAAAAATCATTTTAGATTTGCATCTGTATTTTTAATTCCTAATATTCTAGTTGATTCTATTCATCTTTATTTTATAGAATTTATTCACTTCTTAAATGATAATCTTTCTAACATTTTTACAGGCTCTTTAGGTTTAGTATTACTAGGTTTATTAATTTATATAAGTTCTGCCCCTAATTCATCTAATACAAATCCTTCATCAAAAAATACTTTTAATGTTAATTTTGGAGATGGAGGTGTAGGGTCAAATAATCATCCATCAAATAGTAATTCTAATAATGATAAACCAATTACTTCTCCTGGAGTTGCTGCAGGAATTATTTCTGGAACAACAATAACTGCTGCAGTTAAAATTGCAAAAACAAATCCTAGAAATGGATTGTTTTTAGGTGTTATTGGTACTATTGGTGGTTTTGCTACTTATGGATTAGGTGAAATGATGAATCGTAACTATGAAGAAAGAAAAAAAATGAGAGAAATGTGTGAAAGAATGTATTATCACTCTATTAAAAGATCTGGTAGTCCTCTACTAGATGGAAACTTCAAAATTAATTCTCCAAATGAAAATAGTAATAATTTTGTAGAATTAATTTCAAAATTCATTGAAAATCCACAAGATGTATTTAATTTATTAAATGAATATTTTAGAGGTAGTGATGGAAATCCCAGTCCTATTTTAATTCTATGTGTTTGTCTATTTACATTTATTGGAATTCTTGGTTGTTTCTTTTTAATTATAGGTATGTTAAGTAAACGAATTAAAATTGAAGAACGAGAATTTATTAAGAATAGACCTTTATTACATAAATTAGTTTGCCTTATTATTTCATCAAGAGATTGGAATAATTTTGTATTAATAATAATTATGTTATTATGTCATATTGGAATTTTAGTTATTTGCTATTATTTAAACGAATTATTCTAGGTTGATGATTCATATAAAAGATTATTATTATTATTTTATAATAATAATAAATAATCTCCCATGATATCAATATTTATTATTATTTTTTAAAATTCTCCCCTGGTACCTTGATTTATGTCTTCTTGTGGCGGTACTGTAAGTAGAGATAATTAATCTTGAAACTAAATAAATCATTACTAAAAATTAGATGCTATCTAATTACTTACTTACTTTAAAAATATGATGTTTACAAACTTATTCTATATTTTTAGCAATTGCCCTATTTTCCCTTCGAATACCTGCGATTTAAACTCTTTTACAGAGCTTATTTCAAGTTACATTAGGATTAAAACACCTGATGGTTTAATTACTAGTAATATCTAGATTAATACTCCGGATAATTTACTTTTAGCTTTATTACCTTCAGTTGTATGTATAAATAAAAACCCTTCAGAAAATAATATTTTAAATTCAACTTTTAATGATTTAAAAGATTTTTCTCTTATAAATAAAAATTCTAGTGGTTATATTACTATTAAAGAAATTTTATCAAACGATATTTTATCTCTTAAAGAAAAACAATTAAATTTAGAAGATATATTACATTCTTTATAGTTGAAAAAACTAGAAAAAATGAGTAAGTCTAAGGATTTCTTAAATACAAATCCTAGGTTTAGAATACTTTTAAATAACTATAAGTTCTTAGAAGACGATTTAAAAATGTATTTTGAAAATGAAAAATATATTAGAAACAAAAAATATCTTTTTATGTTTAAAGAAATAGATAAATCCTTAATGCTGTTCTTGATTTTAAGTTTATTAATCCCCTTTATTATGTAATATGAAGATAATAAAGAACAATCAGTTACTACTTTACTTCATAGATTAGGAAAAACTTTATATAAAGAATGTTTATATCAAAAATATATTAAAGAAGTTGATGATAAATCTAAGGATATTGTAACTTTTAATTTATATTTGAAAAATTTTAAAATGAATGAAGAGAATTTTATTAATATTGGTGGTACTGTTATTAGTTATTTGGATATGAAAAGTGATCTTGTTTAATATCTTAGAACGATATGATATTAAAAGTAAAAAAACTCATAGAGAAATTATTCCTAGTTACCAATTGAAAAACTATATTAAATATTTAGGTATGATTGATGGTCATGAATTACCTATAGTATATCCACCTATTTATTGGGAATTAAATAATAAGAAAGAATTTAAGACATATGGTGGATATATTACTAATAATATTAAGAGTTTTAATCCTTTAATTAGAAGTAAAAGATTTACTGAGTCAAATATTAAATTTATAAATAAAATGACAATTAAAATGGTTAATTATATGTCATCTATTGGTTTCAATATTAATCTTAAAGTATTAGATCTTTTAATGAATCTGCCACTTAATGATGATTTAATTATTAGAACATTACATAAGGAGACAGATGAAATGAGTGAGATTATTAAAAAGAATAATAAAGAAAAAGAATTTGAAATTACATCTTATAATAGTAGATTCTTATATAATAATTCAATTTTAACTATTGCTAAACTTTATAGAGATGTTGAACATTTTATTTTACTTTCTTTTTAGACTAGAGAGGAAGAGTTTATTGCTAAGGGGGTGAATTAAATTTCCAAGGTGGTGAATTAGCAAGATCATTATTGTTATTCAAAAAAGGTAATGTATTATCTGAAAATGGATTAAATTCATTAAAGGTTTATGGAGCAAATGCTTTTGGATTAAATAAATTATCTATTACCAAAAGATTAGAATAGGTTGATCAACATTTTTCAGAAATCTTAGATTTAAATTCAGGATTATGGAGAAAAGCTGATGAACCTATGTTAATTTTAGCTTTTTGTTTTGAGTTACAAGGTTATAATAAGGATCCATTAAACTTTATTTCTAGATTACCAATTTATTTAGATGCAACATATAATGGTGTACAACATTTAGCTGCAATGATTTCTGATTTTGATCTAGCTAGTAAAGTTAATTTAGTTGAATCTGATATGAAAGATGATCCTAATGATCTTTATAGTTTAATGTTAAATCCTATTAATGAAGAAATTAGGAAAATAGAGGAATGTGATTTAGAGTATGCCAGATTAAAGGGTTTAGTATTAAATAGAAAGATTGTAAAAAGAAGTTTAATAACTATTTCATATGGAGTTAAGATTAAAGGATGCTACTTTCATGAATATCATATCAATCGTAACATCAATCTATTAAATTAATTATAATGGTGTCATGGTACTATTATTTACTTACACATTTTTGTGAACTTTTGGGTTAAATCCAATAATAAAATGGCGTTCCTTCGAAAAGGGCAAAAGGAAAACTACGGATCGACCTCCCAAGAATGGAATAGCTAAGAAAAATTTTCACTCATTTAGCCACTGATAGCAATAAATTTTTTTCCCCTTTTCTTTCCTTCTTCCCTTCGCGCAAAATATTGTGTCTTGTTACTTCCTATGGTTTTTGAAGTTTTATTATCAAAGCAAAAAGTAGGTATATCGAGGAGTTTCAATATAACTAGCATGAACCTCTCATAAATATATCTAAAAACTATTGTTAACATTTATTTTGTTGGTATTTCCATTGCAACTTCATCGACAACGACAGGGTCGAACCCAATATGACAGAACACAGCTTGGTTGAAAAAGGTGTGTATCTAGTTCTGATTTATTCACAAATAGCATTGACACTCTTTTAATATCCGAAATAGCAATCTCCGAACTCTCAAAAACAACAAAAAAAATCTCTTACCAACAAATCGTCGATCACCTCGCCGATGATATTGTCAGCAGTTGCGATGCAACAAAAGAAAACGCAATCGATGATCTCAAATCATTTTGGATATACGAGCTGGAAAGAGCCACGTGCGATGCTGAAATTACTCTTGTACGCGTTATTACAATTAAAAATGAAATGCTATATAATTATATACGTACGTGTTACTGATACAATTGACATTCAATCATATATTTATCAGATTCGAGCTGAGCCATCCTTTGAAAATATCAAAAAGAAACTAGAAGACAAAATGGAAGTAACGCAAGGAAATGGCCCAGCCACTGCTGTCACAACAACAAAACCTGCAACACCATCAATAAGTCCCAAAGCCAAGGCAAAATCAACATCAACAGCTTCGAGCATATTGTTGACCAAAGAAGAAAAACAACAAATTGACAAGATGTTCGCAAAACTGGATCCGGAAAAGTTCTGGACACTCAAAGCAACAGAAAAAGAAGCCACAAAAAAGAAGGAGAAGCCCAAAGCAGTTGAAGAAAAAATAATGGAATTCGCACGAAAATGCAACTACTACCCGTAAGTAAAAAAAAAAACTTTTCCTTGATATGTTATGCTTAACCATGGATGCTCAAATTAAATTACTCATTTTTATACCAGCCCAAGTCAATCATTAATCCTTGATCTTGAAGACGATCATTGGGAAAGCGTTTTCACCACAGACGAATTGGGCGAATTAGAAGAAGATCATGGCAACCCGCTGTTGTTGCCTGTGACTGAATGCATCGCTGATAAGTTGACCGAACTTCTTCAAACAGTAGTAAGTTAAAACAAACACGGATTATGATGATTGTGGTATGTTCTTAACCCTTTTGGTATTATATCGCTATTTGTAGAAAACGCCCAAGGACGTTTATAAATATGCACAGAAGATTGTCCACGATCCTATCGATGATCCTCTTCTCGCATGGTTGACGATGACTTTGATGTCTGTTTCGCTCCTTTGCATGAAGCATGCTGATGTCAAGGAAGGATATCTTGAGTCCGACAAACAGTACCAGATGTGGGGCTTCATCAACACTGTCTTCATTGGCTCGCCGATCACCGCTTACAGGTATGCGATAGCAATTATGCACACCATCACTTTAATAACATATGAACTAACGCATTATTTCAATGATTGTGTTTTTATATATCATACAGCAAAGAAAAGTCCAGCAAAGCAAACGCAACAGCATCCAATAGCAAGCGCAAACTTTCTGCAGTTGAAGAAGTTCAACGAAAGGCGATGGGAAGAAAAATGGATGCCATTTATATCAGTGGTGGAAAGGAACTGGGGTGCATGGAAGTTGTAAGCGAAGCAGATCAGACGAAGGAATGGAAAGATGGTATGGTGAAAATGCCCGTTGTCATATAAGACCAACTTCGGGAGATTGTCTAAGAAGCACCCGAGCTGATTCGCAAGGTTGAAATCGTTGGATATACACACGTAGAGACACAGCAGCTGTATGTACTGCCGGTTGTGGTTTAATTCCTCCAATGTTACGATAACATATTGTACTAGTAATACTAAGTCGCTCTAAGTAAGTACTATAAGCTCCACTTTTTTTTTTATAAAAACTGTGCTTTAATCTTTTAACCATGCAATGACCCACATCGAGTATCAATTCATAATAATAAATTATGTGGTAAACCACTAATTTATTTATTATTCATTATACTGTCAAGCGTTCTAATAAAAATCTAACTTCGTTGATTTTTTATTGAACTGGGCGTCGACCTAAAGGTCTAGCCTGTTTTTTCTTAAACACAAAAGAATATTATAGTTTAAACAGTTTAAACATGTTTAAAGAACACTGTTTATGAGACACTTGTAGGCAAGTGTTTAGAATGACTACCATCATTCTAGGGTTATGACTACCGTCATAATGACCAGCTACTAACGTCATCAAAAATCAAAGATTTTCTCTGACCACCCCTAATTTCACTGTGCCCATTCTCGTCATCCCCAGCAGCAAGTAACGCCACTACTGAATCACCACCATCTTCGTCGTTTTCAAATGGTAATGAGCCATCAACATCATCAACATCATCAACATCAACATCAGCTCAGCCATCGGTATCACCGTCGAAGCGGCAAAAACAAAGAAAGGCTTAAACAAGTTCTCTATAGCTCGACGCTACTCTATCCCTTTTTTCTTCTTATATACTCGCCCATTCTGATCAGACACACACTACTATTGATGATACATTATCACACACTACGAGCCACCTCCCTTATTACATCATCATCATCATCACCAGCTCACGCTTCTTTTGTTATAGCATATTCATATGCAATGCATCGCACCACACTATAAGTCTCTATACTTTTTATGTTTTAATCTTCTTCTCCACTACTAACTACCTCAACATCCCAACCTATAAACTTCATTCAAGAGGAAGAGCTGCTTCTTTTTCACATCCACCCCTACATCGAACCATGACAGCGCATTTCCTATTTAAAAAAGTCCCTGGTCACCCTTTCCTCTCATCTTCTTCATTCCTCCTCCATTCCCAGTTTCTTCTTAATTCCATTTGTTTTTTATTGTTTGTCAACTTTCTAAACATTAAAATTTCATTACAAATACTGTTAAGTGGTGATACAGATATTATACTCATATACAGCGAATGATGAGAAGGAGCTGCCTATAAATACTGGGTCACCCCACGCCTCGAAGCACCTCGAAAAACTTGGCTTTATTCCTATAGCTTCTTATTCAATAGATATTTCAAACGAAGTTCAACCAAGTAAGTCTGTCAGATTGTACAGTAGTAACAGTAATTAATCTCATGCATCTTCGTGCTGTTATCTGATGGTTGTATGTAGTATGACGACGTGCAAGTAGTAACAATTACAGCGGTCGTATTCTGTTACGTATTTAAATTTGCTACGCGCATAGTGTTTCAAAAATCAAACGCATTTCCAGTGAATTCACTACAACATTCGTGTATCAAACACCGAATAGAGGCGCTTATATATCTGTGATGACAACACCTTCCAAGTAAATATACAAAATGCTATATCAAGCGCTCGGCTTTGTTTATTGTCGATGTTGTTCATGTTATGTATACAGATTATTTTGTTGTTGGTCAGATTAGAGGTTGACAAGGTTCTCCAAAAATGCGAAAGTATCTTTGGTCGTGCATGTCTTCGTGATCCAGTCGAGCTCCATTATAGTAAAAACTTCAAAGCTTCGCGGTGACAGGATGACAGACCAGGTTTTCACAAAGCCACGATCGTTCGTAACCACTTCCTCTACTTTCTGCTTAGTTCCACTTTTGCTCTCCAACCACGAGACAGTATCCGCCGTGTTATTCACGCGTTTTCCAGAAGTAGCCGTTAGAACCGGAGCGATTGTATTCTGCAAAGCACCCGTGTTATTGACTTTTGTCCGTCATCGTTCGCTTCTTCTTCCTCCAGCCGTTTCTCTCCAGGTCGAGCGGTGGTAGCAGCAATAGTAGCGTCGTTCTGCTTTTTCAACAGCAAATAATCCGAGAGGCCAGGAAGCGGATCGACGGGTTAACGTGATTGCTGTGCGCCATGAACACTGATTCCTTGAAATCCCATACCGACCGTCGGGGTGCTTCAAAAATGTCGGCAAATACTCGGCATAACCAATTGAAGATATTTGAATTTTTAGCGGGCTATATTAATCCGGATGACTGTATGTTCATCGTTACTGCTCCATTTGCATAACACCAATTCCAGATGGACAAGATCTGGGCATCGTATGCCAGCTCGAGTGAGCACATTGTTATTATTCGCTGATTCATGGATTATCAGCGACTTCAACGGTGAGATAGTCGTTGTCGTCGTCGTCGGTGGTAGTGAAGTATTGATAATCCTGTTGCTGCTGACCTGTTGTTGTTATTGCTGCTGTTTCCGGTATACTCAATTATGAATCTCTCAATAACCAGTATCTCCAATGCTGGATACGATATCATAGTACGGTGTTGAGCGATAAAACTTGGATATATAGGCAACAACCTATCGTTCAAGAAGGGCTTTACAGTAGTAGATGATCGCAAAAGACAAGACCGGCCATATTTTTGGGTATTAGCTCAGGCTCTGCAGAGTAGTTGAACTGTGAGTAGCAGCTGTGGTGGTTGTGCTGTCGTTTCTGTTTCTGTTGCTGCTTTCTTCTAATTCGCCCAATTCGTCTGTAGGAAAACCCTTTTCCCAATGATCGTCTTCAAGATCAAGAATTTATGTTTGACTTGGGCTGGTATAAAGAAAAATCAGAATAGTAATTAGATTGAGCATCCATGGTTAAGCATAACATATCAAGGAAAAGTTTTTTTACTTACTGACGGTAGTTGCATTTTCGTGCGAATTCCATAAGATTTGATGTCATAAAAAACGCTTGCTTTTGTTGCATTGCAACTGCTGACAATATCATCGGCCCGCGTGGCAACAACAACAGCACCTTGGCCTGGTATGCCTTGACGATAGCCGATTAATTGTGCATTAGCGTCATGCGAGCAAACACAGATACGGTTCCGATCATTCTTGCAATTGTCGCTCGCTCATTGCTTCGATATCGCGTCCAGTCAAGCAGCTTGACTTGGCTGTGTTTAGCGGAATGCCAAGCTTACGGGCAATCGACATGGCGGTCGCTTCGGAATCACCGGTAATCATGGCGACAGAAACCCCGCCCTGGCGCAAGTCCCGAATAGCATCTGCGACACCAGCACGTGGTGGATCATGAACAGCAAGGAAGCCAGTAAGCGACAGCTCCTTGGGATTGGTTCCAAAGGCAGTGGAGATGACGCGAAGACCGTGAGAGCTCATGGCTGCTACATGCTGCAGAACCATCTCCTTAATATCAGCCGTTAGTGGGTGCTTCGTGTCGTCAGACTCGTAGAATGTACTACACTTTTCAAGGATAATCTCGGTAGCACCCTTGAAATAACAGGCTGATTCCTTGGTACGCTTGTCCTCACATTTGACCATCATGAACTTCTGGTCCGAATTAAAGGGAAGTTCTTCAACACGCTCAAAGTTCTATAGAGCCCCAGAAAAATCAGTATCTCATCTATCTTCTCCTATGCTCCCGCAAACAATGTGTAAACTAACCTCACGGTCATCCTTCAGACCGCTACGAACGCTGACTTCCAAGAGAGCGATGTCGGTTGGCTGACCAATGTACTTGCCATCCTCGCCAACATAAGCATTGTTACACAAGTTGCCTGGAATAATGTGTAACCGGTTAATAATTGCCGGATAAACGCGCATGAATGAATATCAATTACCTATCCGCAGTGTTTGATGCAGTGCTGCGCTGAGTTTGCTCGGTGCATTGTGCTCGTAATCAAACGTCTTTTCATCATCAATGGTAAACACTTTGGTCACCGTCATCTGATTTCTAGTCAATGTTCCTGTCTTGTCTGCACACACTACGTTGACAGAGCCCAGTGTTTCGACGGATGGAAGTTGTTTGACAATGGCCTTTCTGTTGGCCATGCGCAGTACACCCAGTGCCAAAGTAACGGTGACAACGATTGGCAAGCCTTCTGGAATAGCAGCAACAGCGAGACTGACTATATGAGAGGATATCAAAAGGAGGTGGGTTAATACAAATTTAATATCCGACATATCAATTTCTGCGCATTTCTGTTTGCAACCTCTTGCCTCCCTCTCACCCCCCACTTTCAATTTTCCAATTCAAGTATCGCGGATTACCTCCAATTGTGAACATTTCAAGCCAATGTCGTCCTTGGATCAGAACAATAAGGGCAGTGACGATAATGATGCCAGACGACAAGATTGACAGTTGTTTACCAAGTTCGTTCATATCAACCTGAAGCGGCGTTTTGCGATTCTCGACTTGCTGCATCAATTCAAACACTTGTCCAAACTCGGTGCTTTTGCCCGTAGCAACAATCAACCCGGATCCATAACCGTTGCGAGCCAAGGTTCTCACAAATGCGATATTGTCGCGTTCGGATAGAGCAAGCTCGGCATAGCTATTTGTATTGATGGCATTAGTGTGCTTTCGTCTCAGCTTATTTTCGCCCGTCAAGTTGGATTCGTCAATTTCCAGATCGACAGCCTTGCATATATTGGAGAGAAGAAGTGATTTAATATGTATGCCCTGTAATCATCCCTCCACTGTACACTTTTTTCTCTTGACAGTTTACATTCATCAATCGACAACCTGCAGGAATTCTATCCCCAGTAGTGAACCGGACAAGATCACCGGGAGCAAGTTCGTTGGCTAGCACAGAGATAATATGGCCATCTCTGTTGACAGTTTGTAAGACGAAAAGTTCATTCTCTTTCCACTCCCCCCCCCCCAGAGAATACCACCCCCTGCCCTTTTTGCTCCCTTTTTCTTTATGATAAACGTACCTGACAAGATGGCAATAATGAGGGTACGAGCTTGTTCAATGCTTCAGAGACTATTCGGATCGATATTCTGTACAAATGCAACTGTGCAAACACGTCGCGTCAATTAAACTGTTTCTTGCTTTGCATTCCACTCTCGCAAAAACCTACAATAACAATTGCCTACAGATATGATATGAAACACACAGTGAGCGAAATAGAAACCGAAACAGCGAAACAAACCGAGTCGACTCGAGAAAATAAACGCGCAAATGCGCGAAAGAACGAAATGCCGTAAGTGTAACTAACCACTGTAATGCTAATAGGCGTCACCATTTGACCCATCACCAAAGAGACAAGGGCCGAGCCGAGTAGTAATAGAATAAGCGGATTATCTGTAAATTGCTGAAGGAATTTGGAAAAGAGCGATTCTTCTTCCGCCTTGTCAAGTTCATTTGAGCCATAGATCGAGCGCAGGCCCAGGCACTTCAGCCTGAGCAAGACCAAGTGTAGGGCTGGTGTTGAGATCGGATGAGACTTGATCAAACACTTTGGCGTGCCGATTTAACAGAGGGCGTTGTCGTGTTGCTTTCTGATAATGTGCTTGCCATGACTGCCACTGAAAGATCTCCATGAAGTAGGGGAGATTACTCTTGACAAGAGCATCGATTTCCTACACCAATCAATCATGTTAGCCCTATTTTCTCAATTTATCATACACACTACATTACATGCCAAAATTACATCTTGAGCACTGGGTCTATTGCGCGCATCTTCATCAAGCAGCCATGCAACAAGACCACGCATGTACACGGATGGGTGGCTGTAGGTGAAGGCTGGGCTGGGCTCAGTGGCGATAATGTCAACGAGCTGCCTCCTCATCCTTGATCAAGTAGTGCGGGGGCACACGATCCATCATTCAATAACAGTACTGCCAAGCGACCACAAGTCAATCCTTTCGTCGTAACAAAAGAAACCCAAAGTAAGGATGAGCTATTCACTCAATGAATAATCTCTCCAAAACTCCCAAAAGTCTGGACTGAGAAAAGGACGCGCTTTATTCCACAATACCGTCAGAGGGGAAATAATATTACAGAATAGAGAGTCACAATATCTGATGACCTTCACAACATTATATATTCCAGACGTTTACTAACGAGAGCAACAAAAACTACACGTACGTCAAGGTGACAACAGAACATACACTTAATATCGGTATGGCATAGAGTGATATTATGTACACTTTGCAGTCGTGCCCTAATTGTTAGGGTTTGCATTAAATGGCAGCCAGTGCGAGTTAGGCTTATTAAAGTTTAGTGCATAGAAAGATTCCACGACACCATCAGTTCTAGCCTTCACTAATACGTCGAAGCTAGCTAATCAAAGTGACTACTGCACCATCATCAGCACTGATATTTCTTCACCGCGTTCAGACTGTTGAGTCATCGATGTGTAAGGCTATCCCCGGCCCACAATAAAGGATTTGAATCAATGATGGTAAGACCAGAGGATTTGGCGCGTGTGGCTGCCTCTGCGATCTTACAGGTACTTCCTTGACCCAAACTCTAATTGAACCCAGAGATAATTACCAACTTATTGCCCAGGGTGATAGGTCCATCTGTACCACTAAAGTAATATTCAGCAGTAAATGGGCCACACGAGCTTTGCGGAATTTTCCAGCCACAATCTAGCTCATGTCACTATGCCACTCTGGGATGTGTTGCATATCGGATGCCCCCGCTGCTAATACAAGTAAACCTTCTTCCTTGTGCGGACTCTGCAGGTTATATCAAAGGTTTATATACAATGCACCTCGATCGAACCATACCATCCATCTCTGCAACACAAATGCGGTGCCCGAAAAGGTAAATAAAAGTTCTCGGCTGGCAACCAGTAATAATACCATCTTTTCTCTGTCGATCATCGCGGAGTGGAGGCCGTTGCATTCCAACCAATTAAAGCGAAACAGCCACTCTTCGCCGTTCCACCACCACCTTACCTTACCTATCTAGCTATAACCTTTTTAACCTCTTTTATTTTTATTTTTCTAAACCCAACCACCAACTAGCCTCTCCCTTCCCTTGTCTCTGCACCTCCCTCCTTCCTTCTTTCTCTCCCCTACTTCATGGAGATCGTTCATTGGCAGTCATGGCAAGCACATTATTAGAAAGCAACACGACAACGCCCTCTGCCAAATCGGCACGCCAAAGTGTTGATCAAGTCTCATCCGATTTCAACACCAGCCCTACACTTGGTCTTGCTCAGGCCGAAGTGCCTGGCCTGCGCTCGATTTATGGCTCGAATGAACTTGACAAGGCGGAAGAAGAATCGCTCTTTTCCAAATTCCTTCAACAATTTACAGAAAATCCGCTTATTCTATTGCTACTCGGCTCGGCCCTTGTCTCCTTGGTGATGGGTCAAATGGATGACGCTATTAGCATTACAGTGGTTAGTTGCACTTACGGCATTTCGTTCTTTCGCGCATTTGCGCGTTTATTTTCTTTAGTCGACTTCGGTTTGTTTCGCTGTTTCGGTTCTATTTCGCTCACCGAGTGTTTCATATCATATCTGTAGGCAATTGTTATTGTAGTTACAGGTACATATTACTTTGGACCTTCATATGTGCGAGATTGGAAGACAGATATTGCAAAGCAAGAAACAGTTTAATTGACGCGACCTGTTTGCACAGTTGCATTTGTACAGGAATATCGATCCGAAAAGTCTCTTGAAGCATTGAACAAGCTCGTACCTCATTACTGCCATCTTGTCAGGTACGTTTATTATAGAGAAAAAGGGAGCAAAAAGGGCAAGGGGGTGGTATTCTTTGGGGGGGGAGTGGAAAGAGAATGAACTTTTCGTCTTACAACCTGTCAACAGAGATGGCCAGATTATCACCGTGCTAGCCAACGAACTTGTTCCCGGTGATCTTGTCCGGTTCAGTACTGGGGATAGAATTCCTGCAGATTGTCGATTGATTACTGTAAACTGTCAAGAGAAAAAACTGTACAGTGGAGGGATGATTACAGGGCATACATATTAAAACACTTCTTCTCTCCAATATATGAAAGGCTGTCGATCTGGAAATTGACGAATCCAACTTGACGGGCGAAAATAAGCCGAGACGAAAGCACACCAATGCCATCAATACAAATAGCTATGCCGAGCTTGCTTTATCCGAACGCGACAATATCGCATTTATGGGAACTTTGGTTCGCAACGGTTATGGATCCGGTTTGATTGTTGCTACGGGCAAAAGCACCGAGTTTGGACACGTGTTCGAATTGATGCAGCAAGTCGAGAATCGCAAAACGCCGCTTCAGGTTAATATGAACGAACTTGGTAAACAACTGTCAATCTTGTCGTTTGGCATCATCATCGTCATCGTCCTTATTGGATTGATCCAAGGACGACATTGGCTTGAAATGTTCACGATTGGAGGTAATTCATGATACTTTGAATTAAAAAGTTGTTTTTTTGGGGGGCGGAGGGAGAGGGAGGCAGAAATTTGCAAACAGAAATGCGCAGAAATTGATCTGCTGGATATTAAATTTGTATTAACCCACCTCCTTTTGATATCCTCTCATATAGTCAGTCTCGCTGTTGCTGCTATTCCAGAAGGCTTGCCAATCGTTGTCACCGTTACTTTGGCACTGGGTGTACTGCGCATGGCCAACAGAAAGGCCATTGTCAAACAACTTCCATCCGTCGAAACACTGGGCTCTGTCAACGTAGTGTGTGCAGACAAGACAGGAACATTGACTAGAAATCAGATGACGGTGACCAAAGTGTTTACCATTGATGATGAAAAGACGTTTGATTACGAGCACAATGCACCGAGCAAACTCAGCGCAGCACTGCATCAAACACTGCGGATAGGTAATTGATATTCATTCATGCGCGTTTATCCGGCAATTATTAACCGGTTACACATTATTCCAGGCAACTTGTGTAACAATGCTTATGTTGGCGAGGATGGCAAGTACATTGGTCAGCCAACCGACATCGCTCTCTTGGAAGTCAGCGTTCGTAGCGGTCTGAAGGATGACCGTGAGGTTAGTTTACACATTGTTTGCGGGAGCATAGGAGAAGATAGATGAGATACTGATTTTTCTGGGGCTCTATAGAACTTTGAGCGTGTTGAAGAACTTCCCTTTAATTCGGACCAGAAGTTCATGATGGTCAAATGTGAGGACAAGCGTACCAAGGAATCAGCCTGTTATTTCAAGGGTGCTACCGAGATTATCCTTGAAAAGTGTAGTACATTCTACGAGTCTGACGACACGAAGCACCCACTAACGGCTGATATTAAGGAGATGGTTCTGCAGCATGTAGCAGCCATGAGCTCTCACGGTCTTCGCGTCATCTCCACTGCCTTTGGAACCAATCCCAAGGAGCTGTCGCTTACTGGCTTCCTTGCTGTTCATGATCCACCACGTGCTGGTGTCGCAGATGCTATTCGGGACTTGCGCCAGGGCGGGGTTTCTGTCGCCATGATTACCGGTGATTCCGAAGCGACCGCCATGTCGATTGCCCGTAAGCTTGGCATTCCGCTAAACACAGTCAAGTCAAGCTGCTTGACTGGACGCGATATCGAAGCAATGAGCGAGCGACAATTGCAAGAAATGATTGGAACCGTGTCTGTGTTTGCTCGCACGACGCCAAAGCACAAATTGGCTATCGTCAAGGCATACCAGGCTAATGGTGCTGTTGTTGCCATGACGGGCGATGGTGTGAACGATGCCCCGGCACTCAAGATGGCCGACATTGGTATCTCCATGGGCAAGAGTGGTACTGATGTCTCAAAGGAGGCGGCTGATATGATCTTGGTGGATGATGATATTTCGACAATATTGCACGCTATCGAAGAGGGCAAATCGATCTTTTACAACATTCAAAACTTCTTGACCTTCCAACTCAGCACAAGCATCTCGGCTTTAACCCTGATTGCACTGTGCACGCTGTGTGGTTTTGCAACACCGCTGAATGCCATGCAGATTCTTTGGATCAGTAAGTTGACTATTGATGGTAAACGACTGGGGGGCGAGAAACACATGATGGCTGACGATGCTTGCTTAGATATTATCATGGATGGACCACCTGCTCAGTCACTGGGTGTTGAGCCTGTTGATCCCAACGTGATGAAGAAGCCACCACGATCGCGCAGTGACAAGATTTTGACGCAGAGTGTAGTATCGCGTGTTCTGACGGCAGCTTCGGTGGTTGTTTTGGGTACCATGTTCATCTATATTTCGGAAATGGAGGATGGCATTGTGACTAACCGCGATATCACGATGGTAAGTCTTTTGTTCGGGAAACACTTACCGTTTACTTTTAACGTGATAGACTAATAGCATACTCTGAATGTTTAGACGTTTACAACCTTTGTGTTCTTCGACATGTTCAATGCACTGGCTTGTCGTTCTGCTCGAAAGTCCATCTTTTCTGTCGGCTTTTTCTCGAACCGCATGTTCAATCTTGCCGTGGGTGGATCGATCTTTGCGCAGTTGCTGGTCATTTACACACCTTTCCTTCAATCTATTTTTCAAACGGAGCCGCTGTCAGTCTATGATCTCATCAAGATCGTGTTTGTCACAAGCTCAGTGTTTATTGTTGATGAGGCCAAGAAGTTCTGGGCATCGCACGTGCAGCGACAGAATGGTCGACTCAAGTATCATCAAGATGAAGAGGTTGACCTGGCTAGCAATGCTGTATAATGGTTTTGGACAGTGCACACACTTAAACTACACACAACACATACACACACACACACACACACTCAAACACAATAGCACACTCACACCCTCTTGTTACTCATTCAAAAAAAGCACAAGCACGAAACCCTAATAACATAGACGTGTCATTCCTTTCCCTCTCTTTGCTTTCTGTAATTATATTTTTATATATGTATACCGGTTCTTTTCTTTGATATTTTGCATTATTTACAATAAAGCGCTTTCCTAATTTAGCCAATCCCATGATCTAGCAAAAAATTTGTTGCCTTCGTCAGGTCATGATCGTTCTTTTCAAGAGCATCTGCAGCCTGCGGTTTGGAGAAGCCCATGTTGACCAATTCTTCAATTAGATCATCGTGCTGCGGGTGGGGAGGCACAGGAGGTGGCGGTGAGTCTGATACAGGTGTAACCGAGGCAGCCCGAGGAGACGTCTGTGCAGAAGACGGTGAGCTGGCGTACGGCTTGGGAGGAAGTGCTGGAGCAGGCACATGAGGCCGTGTGGGAGGATAGGTATGTTGCTGTTGCTGTTGCTGCTGCTGCTGTGTTGGATGTGGATGAGATTGCGGCTGCGGTTGCTGTGGCAGTAGCTGTGGCTGTGGTGGACGAGGTTGATGTTGATGTTGCTGCTGTTGTTGTTGTCTTTTCATATTGGCCCAGCCTTTTGAAAAATGAAAGTTTTCAGTTTAACCGAAATGTTTAGAGACCAACAATAAGCGAGACACAGAATACACCAAATTTTACCTTGATCCGCAGGTCCTAAAATCGACCGTAAAGCAACCAAATCATTTTCCGGCTGGTCCCAAGGATCTGGAGGTGCCAGACCTTGCTCGAACTTTTGATAATCGAGCTGCTGATGGCGTGGAGCCGAAGGCAATTCTCCTTCCTCTCCTTCTTCGTCACGGTGATACAATGGTTCTGGCTGCAAAATTCGAGTATCGGTATCGAGGAAACCCGGTGCAATTCTGCGTGCTGCAAGCTTTTGCCGTTTGACGTATTCGCTCTGCAGCCGCTCGCGCTCCTCTTGTTGCTGTTTCCGAGCGGCTGCCATTTCTGAAAGTGCCTCTCGTTCTACATTGAACGGGTATGTTGACTACACCGGGACCCATAGATATACACGCACCTTTGGTTGTGAGCTTCTTTGTTTTAGGTGTTCGTTTTGGCTTGTGCCAATACACACCCACGCCGTAGGTTAATTTCTTTTTATGCTTACCAAATTGTCGAGGGATTCGGGTAATGGTGAAAGTTCTGTATCGATAAATATCTATATAGTTTATCTTTCTCGTAAGTCTTCTCTTTGGCCGTTGTTCTTGTCGCTTCTACTCGGCATAATAGTGTGTGTCCTCTCCCTTACCTGCTTCGGAAGCCTGTAGTGATGAGACACCATGACAGGCACATCCTGTAATACTGAGTAAATGGACCCTATACTTGATTGCAATGAGTTGAAACAGTAAACATTGATTCATTTCCAATAAAAGAAATTAACCTTGGTCGCCCATTTTCTTAAAAGCGAGGAAGAAGACGTGGTTTCTCAGCTTCTATGTGCATCCCACCTTAACTCTTCCTGCGGGAGAATCTTATCCAATGAAATTCAGTAGCCAAGGAAGAGCTAATACCAACGTGATATGGCAATAACTCATGATATAAAATGGTGGAGAATAGGGTCAACAGCCTCTAAACAGTAAAAGTTTTAGAGCATTCTCACTTAAATTAACAGCAGAAACAGCTACCATGGAATATTGTCATAATCACATTAAAATTACCAAGGTACTCATCTGTATATCGGAAAATGATGTTGGAAGTCAAGTCAAGTGTAGGACACAAGTTATTCATAAAAAGAACCGCTGTCCAATCCACAGAAGACTACTAGAAAGTTGTCGTAGATGAACATAGCCAAAATCCATGTCAGAGTTTTTGATATCGGTTCGTCGTATAAGGAAGGGTCTTGGAGCACTTTGATAGCCTGTAAAGGGCTGTGAACGACATAATAACATTACACGGCCCTTGATGGAGGTGGGAAACGAAAATCGTTTGTATTTGTTTCAAGAGTATCAGAGACGATGATTATTATCAACGCCATATGTTCAATCAGAGTGACGCATGTAATAGTGGGAGGGTCTGTTATATCATATACGGTAAACGCAGTAGCAAAAGAAGTGTTTAGACTATCCTGTAATAAACTTGGTGATGCGCATAGTAAGAAAGTTGATTTGAGTCAACCCAGCAGCAATTTTTGAAAGCAGAAGGCGGATCCGAACAAAGACATATGCTGTCTAAACGTACGGATGGAAAGCACTTTCTTTTCATTTATTGGTATACTATAATAGATGACTTTGAGAAAATATTCTTTCATTGCTTTCCAGAACCAAACTCGTTGTCATCTCTTTGACTTTCTATTTTTCTTCTTCCTTAATAAACATCTTGTTGATTGCTCCAAGGTTGAACTGCTACAATGCGGCTCACTTTATCTTCACCCAACAATATAGAAAGATAAAAGCGCACAGACCGTTTCCATGTCCAATCACGTAGTATGTATCTTGCCAAATGCGTTTGCAACAACCAGTGTATCTTTCCTAACTCCTCACATTGGAAGCAATTACAGCAACTGCGTGTTCGATAGCTTCGTCGGCTCGGCTCATCCTCGTTGCTATGTATTTGTCGATGACCAAGTACTCGAATTGTACTGCTGATAACTGCTCCTTGCTTCGATATCTTGATTTCGTCGGCCGGCGTAGTGGCACACCAATGAAATACGCTTCACGACAGCATCACTTCCCCCTCCCCACATATGGGACATGCGTCTTACATTAAACGTTTGAATATTCGCTCAAGCGATGCCATTCTTATTGGAACTTTTATATTCTTAGTTACCCGAAAATTTGAGATAGCTCAAAGTATCATCTTGTAGTCGCGATTGTACTTTTACGGACGAAAACGAGTCAACATGCGCTATGTATATAGCCCTCACGCTACATCTTGAGCATGTTATTTAGTAGCAACCACTCATTACAGTGCTAACTATGTATTTGTTTGCATACTTTGCTGTGTTAGTATTATCATACAATGTCTGTTGTCAGCGTTACCTTCTCCACCCCATTGATATGTGCTCGCTATGTATAGACACCGACAGCGTGCGCATTTTTTTTTGTGTCAAAAGTTCAAATTCAGTGCCACAGTGCGTCTCTTTTTCGCTATCCTTCTCCAACATTCTTTGATCGGCGCATAATAAATTACAACACAAAAAAAACCAGAAAAATGGCAGAAGAAGAAGAGAAATCCAAAATAAACCGGCACACTCTAACTACAACACAAAAAACACAAAAGCAATTGGAAAAGTTATTTCAAAAGATCGACAAGCCGATCGTAATACCACAAGGTCCCAGAGAGAAATCAGTAAAAGCGCCCAAAGATTTTGTGCGCAATGTTCCTGGTGAGTACAGATCGATGATTTCAATCCTCACTAAATATCTCTCTCTCTCTCTTTTCATGTTTGTTGATTGCTGGACATTGAGAAGACCAACAAGAGTAATTACTCCATACTTATACATGATTCTCACGATGGATGGTTGTATTTGTTGTAACTCTTAATAGGATCGAGTGCTGGTGCAGGCAGTGGTGACTTTCACGTATATCGTGCACATAGACGGCGAGAATACGCTCGGTTAAAAGATATGGATGAAGAGGAACGCAAGGTACCACAACTGAAAAGATTCACTATGGGAAAAAAATAGGAGATAGAGAAATCCGGAGAGTTCTTTGTTTTTTTAACACCGTGTGGATGATTGTGCTTATTAGGAATACGAAAAGAAAGAGTATGACGATAAAATTGCACAATTAAAAGCCGGGGATGAGGCACGGACGGCCAAAAAGCGTGCAAGGCGGCAGAAGCGTAAGCAGAATAAGGATCAGACGAGCAGCAGTACCGAGAATAAAAAGCAAAAAACGGACCCATAAAGGCCAATTTTACCTTCAATGTACATTTGCTATTTCTTTTCCGTTCTCACACAAACACACATACCCACACATTTGGATACTCGGAAAGAATAAAAGAAAATGCTCCATATTCTCCTTTTGCGGGTGGGTATATATAATGGCTAATGGTTTGGCCATCGAGTCGTTACTCAATCGTCGCCATGTTCTTGTTCCTGCAACTTGTTGTTGTTGCTGGGTTGCTACTGCTATCGCAAAACATCGTGTATGCACTGCCACGTCCGACTGGCTTCTGCTGGAAGCGCATTGACACTCTGTATGTGTGCACGCTAGTAGGCTAATGGAGCGAGACGAACTACACGGTACAGCTTTATTTTCATACTAACACGCTTCTCTTGCAACTGCTATTAGATTCGTCTTTGGAGATTCGTACAGTTATGTGGAAGGCCGTTTAGGAACTAAGAATTATTCTTGGGATAACTTTACATCGCCTGGTTCTGTCCATCACAATCCCATCCTCCTTAACAAGGTCAGCAAAGACAAAACGCTCATCATTAATGAATTTCGGCCATTGTCATATCCAGGAACAGGATCACTAACATCTCTTATAGACGAGTGCGGGAGGACCTAATTGGGCCGAGTACCTGACCGAATGTTATCAAGGATTGCCACAACGCTGCGATCCAGCTTTGTATGATATCGCCTTTGCTGGGGCTGATATCGATCCAGTACTCATTTCCAAGCACCATCCATATACTATTTCGTTTGTGGAGCAAGTGGATCAATGGAAGGATCACGTCGACCGTGCCATTCATTGGAAGCCTCCAAACACGTTGGCAACGTTTTGGATGGGGTAAGAAATAAGCTACATACATATTGCATATTATTGGGATGACAACAAACCAAGTTTAACCTTATAAACTTTAAGCATCAACGATGTTGGCGACACGGAATCTTGGACCAACGTAAGTGTATTTTAACGTTTATTACAATTTGACCCCTAAATCCCCCTCCATTTATCATAAGCTGACGCGAAAAGCCTTATTCTCATCATCGGTGAATTTTAGATTTCGTTTCCTACGTTTTACAACCAACTCATCGATGTCTACTTTAACAAAGTGGTATGACAAGTGTGACACAGACGTTGCTATATTTGACACCACACCTTAAAAAAGTACTCAAATTTACTTGTTGGCATCACATGATATATGGAAATTATAGGATGAGCTGTATGCCCGCAATGTGCGATCATTCCTATTTTTTAATGTACCACCACGCGACCGATCGCCTGGCGGTGACAGCCACGACGGCTATGCACAAGTCATTGATACGTTCAACGGCGTTCTGGACGAACACATCAGTGCATTTCAGCGCAAGCACACAGACGCCAATGTCATGTTAATCAATGCGTTCGACCTGTTCAATGGGTACCTCGACAATGCAGAAGAACTTGGCTTCAAGGATATCACCACTTTCTGTCCAAACTCGACGGCTCCTGATTTCAATACGAACTATGAAAACTACGGCTGTTTGGCGCCGTACGAGTATTTTTGGCTCAGTAAGTAGTGGTGATTATTAATTTGGGCATATGCCCGAAGAAGGCCAGCAGCAGGGGGGAGTGGGGCTTTCTACATTACGCATGATGTATTATTCACACATACTCACTCACACATACTCACACACACAAAAGACTCAGGGCATCCAACGTATCCGGTTCATCGACTGCTTGCTAGCGACATTGAACGGCAGCTGGAACAGTCGAGTCGTTGCTAAATAATATGTTGATAATTAAAATAAAAAGGTGTGGTCCTAAATTTTAAAAATTGCCATTGGCTGGCGTTTTTTCTTGCTCAGCGCATGGCTGGTTTCCTAGTAGGGAGGTCAGACATCTGCAGTCTGTCCATCAGTCGCCCCCACCCACCCACACCCCCAACCTTCCCTTCAACAACCTCGAATCGTCAGGGTAACAGTTTCACTTCTCTTCCACTTGTTTATATTCGTACCCGTCCACCTTGTATACTCTCCTCTCCTTAACAAAAACAAACATTCTGGCGCATACACTCGCACAACCACCCTTTCAACTGACCGACTGACCCGGCTGACTGACTGACAGGTCCTGCTTCTCGCCATAAGCAGTCGCAGGTTACCCAAAGCGCGCGCGCCTCCTTACGTTCCTTTCTACTCTTACTCTACTCGCTTTTCTTTCCGTCCTTTTTCTTTTTCCCCACTTCTTCTCCACACACACACACATACAACAAACTACTCTTATTACGTCGTTTGAACGTCCTTACACCTACTCCTTCATCCTCTAGGAAATACACCTCCTCGCTCTTTTCCCTCTCCTCGACACTATCCCATGACCGGTCCTCAGCAACAACCACACTATCATCATCATCACCATACGCAACAAGAACAAGAGTACGGGTCTGATACAAAAAGGCATAGAAAGTATTTCTCGATGACTATAAACAATGATGCTCATGTGTGTTTATATAGCATTTATGAATGGATCCGAACGCAGCTTTCGCTCTACTTTGCACTCTCCATTCTTGCACCGCCATCAACAGCTAAAACGGCCACAACAACTGCGGAAAAAGGAACAGATGGTACTCCTCTTACCATTCCATCACAACAACAGTGGCTCCTGTGTCTTGCACACCGATACTTTGCATCCTCCATTCCAGACTTAATCATCCGCTTACGGCACGATAACGACAACGACAAGAACACCACTTTTGCACAGCAGCTGTTTTTCGATCATTGGCAAATACCCTACACGGACGACTATGTTTTGTTTATCAGCGCGATCCGTCATCGATTGCAGTATAAACACCCTGACCAACATGCTCCTAAAAGCATCTTCGCTGGTAAATAATCCGTCTCTTTGCTTTCTGCGCAAACAATGCGAGAAGGGTCCTTTTGATCACAGGGAAAGTAAGAACTAATATGCATAAAACAGTAATAAGGAGCATGCCGTCATTCGTGTGCATGCAGCTCGATTTTATCCACATGAAATTGTTTACATCCACCCTCGTACTGCATGATACGACCGATCTCGAACACCGAATGCAGCTCATCCAACATCATCATCTCCACCATGACGAGAGTAACGATGCGGATAATGATCAGCGATATCATTCCTTGCGCTGCTGGCTAGACCGTGTTCAATCATGTTCCTTGCATGGCCAATCGATCATGCACGCGATTGAAATTGAAACCAAGGTGGATACGGATGATATCGATGCTCTTTTGGAGCTCCAAAACAACAACAATGAATTTTATCATCATCATGGACTACTATCCGACGGTTTGCGTCTCAAACTAACGCAGCCGCTCCAAGCCTTGGACCAGTACCGTTATACCCAACAATCCCAACGACGCGTGCGATGGTTGGAGGAACTGAAACAGGCATGGCTTGCAGCACACAAATATGCAATCACATCGATGCGCCAATACGAGGACGAGGACGCCGTTGATAATGTTGAGAATGAAACTGTTGTGGATATCGCCGTAAGGGATGCGACACGAACATTTCAACGATGGAGTGGAGCCGCCCCAGCAGCCAACGCATCGTTGTACACCGCCATGCAAAAACAATACTGCGAATTTCGCCAACGTAAACATCAGCTGGCCGACCAACGAGAGCATGTGAATGCCTTTATTCAGTACACAGAGGCGTTGGAAAAAAAAGGCGAGAGACTACTGTCGCAGAATAGTAGTGGCGATGAGCTGCTGCTTTCTGTATCCGTTGTCGAATCGTTTAAGGATCGTGTACATGTTGCTACAGAACGAATTGCTGCACGAATCCCTTATCCAGTGCATCAAACCCTGAAAAATGCAGATATCCGGGATTTGGTCCGGCGACGCAAGGCGTCTCTATGGTTGCTGCAAGACAATTTGGAGCTGACATTACGACGGCAACAAAAAAATCGGCAACAACAACAGCAGCAGCAGCAGCAAAAAACAAAAGACGAGGAGGAGGATGTGTGGGTCCACATGCGTATTGAAGCCCTGCAGTCCTTGACTACAAGTGCTGCCATGCCGGGTTTAACGCTGCACGATATCCAACAATTGCAAAAGGATTGCCGCGACTACCGGACGACATCTAAGAAAAAGCGAACCAATGCCAAGCTTGATGCACTGCTCACGCAACTAAAGAATGACCTCGATGCGTATGAGCAACAAGTGCAAACACGTGATGCATTCGAAAAGCTGTCCACAGCAATTCAAGAAAAGACGCTCTGCATCTGGTCCACATTGATGCCGATCGAAGAAGGCATATTCGATGCAGAAGATACACCTTGTGTTTTGGCTGATACGTCAATTGCGGCGGATGTTTTGGAACAACACCACGATCCACGAATCCAACGGCAATATCAAGACTTTGTAGCGCTTGTTGAATATGGCAATGCACTGCTGACTCAGCGCAACGCCCATCAGTTGTACCAATCACGCGTCAAGGAACTGCAAACACAAGGCATGCGTTACCGCAAGGAGCTCGAATTAGCATGGAACGAGATTGTAACGTCCTTTGACCGCCATCAAGAACTGCCCCTGTCCGCGTACGATGATTTTGTCAACGTCACAAGCAAGCTTTTGACCAGCGTAGAGCAGTATGAATTCGTACGTCCCAGCGAAAACGTCTATGCCAATCGACCTGCGCCGTACGCCCAACAAAGCATATTTTTGGCGTGGCTATCCGGCGAATGCAACGCTTTGGTCGAAATTAATAGCACGGTCTCAATGCTTGTCCAAAAATATCGATTGGCGCTTGAGCTTAAACGCGATATGGACGCATGTCTGGCAAACATTGCTGGCGATGTTGTTGCCGCGTCGTTTGATGACGACGACCACCAATACAAAAGCGCAAAGAACCGAGTACAAAACATCAGGGCGCAAATCCTGGATACACGGTGCTGTGATCATCATTCCATGGTCGATTCCTGGGACAAATTAGCGTCGGATGCTCTGGCGCAACTTGCAGTGCGGATCCAGCAACACAAACAAACACAACAACAATGCATGTTGGATGCTGCAGCCGACGGCGCATATGCACGCTGGCAAGACACGCTTGCTCATTTCGATGCAGCAGCAACTGGTTGGCAAAGCCAATCCAGTCTCGGATCCCTAATGGCACACTTGGACGCATTGCACCAGTCCACCAAAGAAGCGTTTGAGGAGATGCAACAAGCATCTGTTTCTGCAGGATCCAGGAAAAGTCACCTCAATACTAAGAAAGATCTAGAGCGACAAAAACACGTTGCCGACATTGTGAATGCCGTACACGCTGAACAGCAGTATCGCATCGTGATGGCTGGCTATGTCGAGCGACAGACCGCGTGGCAGACGCACATGGATGGGGCGCTCCGATTGTGTGACGAACAAGAAGCCGAATTGGTCACGTTGATTCACGACAGCAGAATGTTGGTTACACAGCATGAAAACAAGGAGAACAACAACCACAACAGCAACGCGTTGCCGCCGCCATCATCGCCATCATCGCCACTACCATCACCTCAGCTTCCGAATATCCGGGCGCTGCAGCTCTATGTCGACCAGCATCGCTTGCATCACCACGTTGAATTCGACCAGACCCTGGCTGCCCAAATGTCGCTGGATGAACGAATTCAAGAATTACGCGATACCACATTGTTTGCAAGAAATGTCGAGATTCAATGCAACAAGATTCGACAGTTGATGGACGAGCTTCTTGGTCTCCATGGCAATGACAACGACATCAACATGGATTTGATTGCCATGGCAAAGCGTATACAGGACCCAGAGCTCTATTATCCCGTCCGCGGCCAAGATGACGTCGACTTCGACAAGATGGTGCGGCACAAGCTCGAATCACTCTTAGAAAATGCTGTGCAGCGACAGCGTGCCCATACAGACATGTGCAAGGAGCGCGAAAAACAGGACCAGTGCAATGCGATTGTCTGTCAATTGCACGCCAAGGCGGATGCGCTCGTGTATTCGCAAGAAGCAGTGGATGCTTTGACCACGTCTGCTCAAAATGGAATCGTTCGTATCAACCAATTGCGAGGCAATGACACAAGCAACAACGAGTACGAGCAAGCCATTGAATCCGTACTTGCGACCGTGCGTCAAACTTGGGAGCAAAAGACAGCTGAAGCCGAGCAAGTCAAGAAGCAGCAGCAGGATCAGAAGGCCATGGATGCGTATCGTCAGCTGTACGATTGGCTCGCGGAACAACACAATGCCATCCAAATCCTCAACGTGGACGACGGATCGGTTCTACAGTGCTCTCAACAGCACCGCGAAAAGTTACAATCGCTTCAGCGCAAGGGTATTGATCAGCTGTTTATGCGGTGGCACAACGAAAAGCGACGGCTCAATACATACAGCGACACGATGCAAGCTCTGTATGAACGCGCCAAGGCTGACAACGATGATCTGATTTCGGCCTTGGATTATGTCGAGGACCTGTTTGGCAAGAAACAACTGGAGAATTCGACACAAGCATTCGTAGATGGGCTGTTGTCGGCCATGCGGGTGACGACAGCATGGGGGCAGCAAAAGCGAGAGTGTCAAATTCTTCAAGACACACAGCGTCAGGATGTGGATGCTTTCCAAAACAAGGCTATCAAGGCGATGGATCTGTTTAACGCTTACATTCAAGCATATCCAGATCACCGCAATCTGCATCAGCAGTACCAACAAACTGAATCTGTGCTCAAGGAGGCTGTGCGTGCAGCCAATTTAGCCAAGCCATACTGTGATATCCACATGGAGCTTCAGGGGATTGAAGATTCGTTGTACACCCTATCCGTAACAGTGCTTGACACGATGCTCAATCATGTGGCGGATCGAATCATGGCCTATCCAGATGACTGCAATCGGCAACATGCTCTCGCACGCCATGGCGAACTCAGAGAAACAGTGGCCGCAGCCAAGGCAAAAGCAGAAGAAGAGAGGCAACGAGCAGAAGAGATGGAGGCGCAAAAAGAAGCTGAGCGACGACGACTGTCTATTGAGCAAGCGGTTAAGGCTGCGCATGACGATACGCTTGCTGTGGGTGCCATCGTTGACGACAAGGATGCATCGGTGATCCAAGAGTTTTACCTCCGCAGCATCTCAGCGCTCTCGGTTCATCAAGCACGACGCGACAAATGGCAAGATCCCAAGCTGAATGAGACTGTGCAAATCGTGGAGGCAGCGTATGATTGTCTACAGCAAGTCGCCCAGCACGCGATGCAAGCACATGAGATTTCATCATGGATCAAGACATGGGAAGGTCAAGATGTATCGGCGATGGCATCCACGGTTGAAGCATTCCTTCAAAAGGACGATGGATGGGTTGACAACGCCCCATCACTGATCAAGGCAAACGTTGAACGAGCGACGCGGCATCGACGATCGAGTGTCGAAGAAGCATGGTACGGTTTATGCGAGCAGATGAAGCAGGCAGAAACCATGGCTTCCGAGCGATTAAAAGAACAGCATGAACAGGAACAACTAGCTACGGTAGAACGATTGATCAAGCGCGCTCGGGCACAGCTGGGCTATTGCCGGTGGGATGTGGACAAGCGGGACCTTGGATCGATGCCACGAGAGCCCGAAGCACTTGCGATAGAGCGCCGTATCACTGATTTGGCAGCTACTACTGCGACATTGATGCGAGAACACTATCCAGCGATCACAACTGACGAAAACGCGGCCTATAGGGCGATGGTCAATGCCGATGTTAATCAATTCTTTGACTCGGTTCAAGATACCCAGTGCAAGATTGCACAAGCGCTAGCCATCAGTGAATATTTAATGATTTCAGACGATACCCACATGATGATTAGCATATTCGAAGAATCACTGCCGAGTACGCCACGTAACATGAGCAAGCAGGACTTGCAAGCCATCGAAGCACAGCAAAAGTATTATGACGAACATATTGGGCACAAGCTCGACACTGCACAAGCAATTGCCGAGGATAATTTCATGTTGACCAAGCCATACAGGCAATTGTGCGACCGCTGGGCATCTGTCCAACGCCGTGTTCAGTCTTTGTTGCGACGACGGGCGACACGTGGTCGACTTACTTCATTACCTACACTTCTTGCATCTACTACTTCTACAACTACTACTAATTTTACTCCTAATACTGCATCATCCCCTTCATGTTCATCTTCATCATCCAACAACAGCAACGCTCCATCACCCTTGGCATCAGCATCTTCACCACTCAGTCCCCGACCCAACATGAATAACAGCATGACCAGCAACAACAACAACAACAACAACAACAGGCGAAAACGGCTGTACGAACCAGATCCAGAAAACCAACTTGACGTCGAAATTGGCAGAATCGTGAATCAAGCACCGTATCCAGTCAAGGTCGAGATGGTGCCTGGCAAAGTGGGTCGATACTGGTTTGGAACAAGGCTGGTGTACTGCCGAATCCTCAAGAGCAGGATGGTCATGGTGCGAGTAGGTGGCGGCTGGACCGAGCTATCGCAATTCATGCGTGACCATGCGATGCTACACGACACGACGGCGAGCGAAATGCATGTTGTCAGTGACGAACAAGGCTTTATTCAAATGAGCACCGCACGCAGACCCAGTCTTCCTCCTCCGCTTTACAACAGTTTATCGTCGTCGACCATTTCGTCGAGCTCGAGCAAGTCGTCGGGTTACTACATGGACGGGGACCGGTACATGGCTGTTGATCACCATGGCAACTACCATGCATTGAAAATGACCAAGGTCGACCACCCATTGTTGAGCAGTAGTGGGAGTCGCAGTATTCTAATTAAATGAATATAATTTTCTATTATAAAACACACACTTTTTACTGGTTTCTGTTTCAGTTTCTGCTGTGTGTGTGTGTGTGTGTGCGTGTGCGTAGTGAAGTAACTCAGCGGAGAGTCGAAAGGAATGTCAAAAACAAAGGATTCGGATTGGTTGGTGCTACAACCCGCTAAATCAAAAAAAAAGAGTTTTTTTTTCTTTTTTAGCGACAACCTTTTTTTTTCCAGCTTTCCTTTCTGTAACAAGGCCCTGTTGGTGAGACACAAAGCTGTGTACTACGTGAATGGACCTGCATGACAAGGAGTGGACCTCTTCCTCTTGGGGAGACGCACAGTGTTCGCAACAACAACAACAACAACAACAACGCCAATCTCGATTGCCATTGCCCATTCACCCATCCCAACATCAGCAGCAACAACAGCAGCAACACAACAACACGCTTGCTGCTGTCGAGCCAGTAGTCCCTGTGCAGCAGCAACAGCAGCAGCAGCAGCAGCATGGCTTGTCGTCTTCTTCGACCAACGAGCATTACATGAGCAACTACTACTACTACTCGTACGTATCGTAAAGAAGAAGAAGAAGACGAAGCACGAATTAATAGTTGGGGGTGGGATGGGGAGAGAGAGTGTGTTGTATGTGTGTGTGTGTGTGTGTGTGTGGAAAGGAACGAACGATGATAGCGCCACTTTTTCTTTTTTTTTTTTTTGTCCCACGCACGCGCAGGGGCGTAACTTTTTTTTTTCCGGGAACAAAGTTTCTAAGCTCACCTTGTGCTTTCTCTCTTTCTTTCTCTCTCTCATTTTTCTTTTCCTTTTAGGCCGTCATACTATTACGGTTATCCTTCTTCCAATACTGCTACTCCTACTGCTACTGCTGCTGCTTCTTCTTCTTCTTCTTCTACTTCTTCTAATACGACTAGTCCCACTCTTGTGTCGCGCCCAGATCTTCGACGATCCGAGTCTTCTCCGCAACAGCCGCAGCAGCGAGCTTATCACCACCAGCAGCATCATCATCCTCATACGGGGTAAGTCAGTCTTAAAAGTCGTACAAAAAGAAAGAAAACTTGTTTCTCGTTCGTACCCACTTCCCCCACTTTCCCTCTTTCTCTCGCTTCTCTTCTCTTCTCTTCTCTCCTCGCTCGATCGCTCGCTCTCCCCTTATTTTAACAATCCCTCTTTTCGTACCACGCACACTCACTCTTGTCTTCCTTGTCCAGTTTCACCATGTCGTCGCAGCCCACTACGCCTCGTCCGTCTTCGTCCCCGTCAACGCCTACAGCGACGCCCGCAGAAGAACACTACCACCGCCATCATCCTCATAATAATCAGCATCATCCTCATACGCCGAATAGTAACAGCAACAGCCATTCTATTCCACCACCCGTCAGTGGAACACCGCCTGTGCATCAAACGCCCATCGAACACGAGCATCAACACCACCAGCACCAGCACCAGCCACCGTATGAGGAGCAAGAGCACCACGAGGTCGACAAACTGCCAAAGCGCACGCGTCAATCGTCCTGTCTCTACAGTGTCAACGAGCCTGGTCCCAAATTCGCTGCAACAAAGTATCGGGGCAACCTGTTTGCCGTTGACCGAAACACAGTGTAAGCCCCTCCCTCCTTTTCTCTCTCTCTTTTTAGTACCAGTAACGAAGGTAAAAAGAAGCTAACAAGACTAGCCGCTCCAAAAAAAATAGTTTGGAAGCTCAACTACACGCCAAGTTTGACCGTGGCTTCTTTACCGCGGACAATGACTGGACGTGTTACCGCCGCAACTATTTCCAAGTCAGTACCACCTTCAATCTGCACGGATACCCGCTGTACTACCATGATCAGCATGATCCCGAACTAGGCTGTCTTGTCAGAGACGAAGCAGATGATCAGCTCCATCCTGTCAATTGTTTCATGGTCGGCATCTCTGCCCACGTTCTCGACGAAGATAAGCAAATCTCTCTCATCCAGCACACTGCCAAGCGCGACAAGGGCCCCCAATCGCACCCGGAACCCAAGCCGATCCAACCCGGTGGCGACTTGGCATTGTTGAGCAACATGGCTGCTGCTGCCGCTGCTGCTGCCGCTGCTGCAACATCGTCGTCGTCGTCGTCGTCAGCACCAGCAGCAGTGACAGCACCACCGTCACCTATTGATCAGTCGATCGCCACGTTTGAACGGATCCAGTTCAAGTCGGCTACGGCAAACAATGGCAAGCGAAGGGCTGCCCAGCAGTATTACGTGTTGATGGTGGAGTTGTATACCAAGTTGGCGTCGGGTAAATTGATTAAAGTGGCTTCGACTCGGTCGGACCCATTGGTGGTGCGCGGTCGAAGTCCGGGGCATTACTCGGAACGGCGTAGTAGTGAAAAGGAGGAAGAAAGCACTGCGGCGGCGTTGGCGGCTCAGGCTGCTGCTGCTCGAGGTACGACTGCTGCCACCACTACTACTGCTACTTCATCATCAATGGCATCCCATTCAGAAAGAGAAAAGGAGCACCAGCCTCATCTTCCGCATGAAAGGTCAGTAACGCCTCCACCACCACTAGTACCACACCATTCGCACCACCACAACCAGCATCATCCCCCCCATCTCCATCACCCTCATGAACAACAACAACATCAACAGTCTGTACAATCGAATGGCTACTATTATCAGCATCATCAGCCACCGCCACCAGCAACACCACACCAGCACCATCCACAACCCCAGCATCCTCATCATCATCATCAGCAGCAGCAGCAGCAACCACACAGTCCGTCCTTGCCAATGATCCCACCGCCTCCGTCGTTTGATGCACCTCATCCACCTCCGTCTGCACCGTCACCCCAGCAGCAACATGTGGTAATGCGCGCACATGACCGGTCGATTTCAGCGCCTTCGGGTTCGGTGGATGTGTACAATGGCCATGGTGGAGGGGGACAACATGATATGGGACGCTATGGATACTATCAGCAACGCGATGCATGGAACATGGCACATACGAGAATGGCGTCGAGTGGAGAACCCTATACTAGTAGCAACAACAACAACAGTAGCACCATGCCTCCACCGCCGTCTGCTGCTACTGCTGCTGCCCCTTACGGCTACTATCCATACAACGACACCCATTCCCGCCATCAGCAGCAAGGCGTAGTGGGCCATCACCATCATTATTATAACAGCAATGGGTACGAACTTTTGTTTCTTGGGATGTAAACAGTGCGAGACGCTCATAGAACGAAATTTTTTAAAGTATTTTTTAATTAACCCATTTATAGTATGCCGTCTACTGCCAACAATTCGCGCCCGCCGTCCTCTTCGCCACCGTCATCGTATCCATCGAGCAATGGTATAGAGTACCACAGCTACCAGCCCCATCGCGATGCCAAGGATGACAGGGATCTAGAAAAATAAAGAAACCGGAAACAGTATCATCATCAGTAGTAGTAATAGTAGTGTAATATTATTATAACAAGTACATGTTGTATATCCTACCACCCTTCCCCCTCTTATCTTTTGTTCTCTTGCGCTACTTTTTTTTTATCAGATGCTTACAACACACGCACACACCTCTGAACATCACGCCCAGAAAAAAAAACACACATGCAATCACTCATTACATAGTATTATTACATCTTTAGCATTTCAGAAAAAAAAAGAATATAGTTTTATATATATAAATATATGTCAGGAAAACGAAAAAGGCAAGGGGTATCAAAAAGAACGAGAGAAATATACACACAAAGGGGAGAAGAATAGCACTGATTAACAAGTTGACGGTAAAAGAAGTCCATTAGAGATGTGGACAGGGCCTTGTAATGCTTTGAGCAAGACAAGGTCGGAGGGCTCGCGTCGCATCGTCACCAGAGCCTGCTGGGCCTTTTGCACGACGATATCCGACGACCGGGCCATCACACTTGTCGACTGCAACTTGCGCAGCTCAATGACCTCATCCATGAGCGCCTCAGACACTAAACGCGCCTCATCTGGCTCCAGTGAGCGAACCAAGGAGAGCGCGACCTGATACGCGACCTGGCTGTTCGTTTCCGGATCGGCCAAATCGATCTGCAACTCCTTATCGACCACATCCGACCATTCGGGCGACTGTTGCAGCTGGTTGATCTGGAAATCCAGGTAGTCGAGTTCCAAGGTGATCGTATCGATCCGATCATCCATGTATTGGGGTTCTGCCGGATCGTCACCGTCAAGCACAAGCTCGCGCTCGGCTAACAGTTCCTTCTGCTCGCATTGTAACCGGTCTCGCTTTTGGCACAGGTCTTGCATTTCTTTGTGACAGCTCTTGATGTGCAGCGCCAGCGCGCGATGGATGAGCCGTTTCTTTTGGAACACCCGTTGTTGTAACGAGGCCAGTTTGAACGATCCGCGTTTGTTGAGCGATTGACGTACGATGCAGCCGCGTACGCTTGCACACGCCATGGCTTTGGTCAGCACCTGTCGATCCAGTTTGCCGCACGTCAGAATTTTCTTGAGCAGGAGCGCCACCTGTTTCATCTGGCCACTCAGCATGGCCATTTCTTCGGTGGCGCGCTTGGCGGTCGCCTTGTGCATGGACACATCCCGCTCGATCCGTTTGCGTGCAGCAACAGCCTGGGTCTCGTTCCGCTTCAGCTTGGTGATCTCGCGTTCGTAGCTACTGCATCGTTCGCGTGTACGATCCGAGTCTTGCTTGATGCGCTTGGTCATCTTTTTCTTCTCCTGGTTCGCCTTGTCGAGTTTCGACTTGAGGCTCAGGATCACGGCATTGCTCTTGGTCCGTGCGGATTCGGCGCTCGTGAGGGTCTGTGCGTGCTTGCGCTTCAGGACCGACAGCTCGGTCGACAATTTCTTGATCCGGCTTTCGTATTGCGATTTCTGTTCACTCATGTCTCGACGGAACTGGACTTGAGCTTCTTTCTTTTTGGCCTGTGCGTCGGCTAGTTTGGCCTCGTATTGCTGTACTTGCTCCATGCGTTGCGATTCGCACTTTTCCAAAAGCTGGACTAGTTGCTGCTTGCCATTTACGCATGTTTGTAATTTGGTGAGCAGTAGCGTGTTGTCGTGGTGATCTTTGCTCGATCGACGGAGGCCGTTGCCTTTTTTCATGTTGTTGTTGATATTGTTTTTGTTATTGCGACATGGTTCGTAGATGGGTAGAACAGAGCCAAATGAGTCTGCGAAACTGAGAATTCTGGGGTCGTTTGAAAGCAGACCGTCGTCTTCGGGCGTGGGTGGTGCAGATACGCCTCGGACCCACGGGTTTTCTGCAGATTTGAGGAATGTTGTTTCTTCTGCCAAGCTGGCCTTGGCCTGCTCGATGGATTTCCAAACATTGTTCATCGAAGAGGTTCGCTGATTTTTGGGTGAATGGTTGACGCTCAGGCGACGACGGCCGCGCACGGATCGTTTCGAACCAAAGCGATAACTGTGGCGCTTCTTGGCCTTGGGTGTCTTTTCGGCTGTAGCTGCTGGCACAGCCACTTCATGACTGGTTGAAGATCCAACCAAAGTTGCCAGATCGTCTTCTTCACTTTTGCTCATGCGTCGTTGATGCTGCTGCTGTTGATGCTGCTGCTGATGCTGCTGCTGCTTGAGCGTTTCGTTTTCAGCTCTGAGTTTTTCAATGGTCTGGCAATACTCGGACACCAAACTATCTTCCACATCTTGAACGGCGTCAGCCACAGCTCCATAAGAAGCGGGGTCGTAGTTTTGCTCGACGAGCTTTTTCAATCGATCACGTTCGTATTTGGTGCAAGCCAATTCGTTGGTCATCTGACTCAGGGTCCCATTCATTGCGACGACCTCTGTCTTGAGCGTGTCCATCTCGTCATTGACTGCATGCAGGAACTCGTCATTGCCCCTGAGCTCCTCCTTGAGGCGGATGATCTGGGCTTTAAGTTTTTCGACACAGGCCGGGTCCGCGCCATTGAACTCTTGGTTGACGACGACTCGGTTTCGAATGTTGCGAGCACGGTTTGCGTATTTCAAAGTGTTGAGTGTCTCGGTGTAGTTGCTGTCTGCAGGCGAGACGCATGCAAGCATCAGGGTCTGGCTGTTGCCGCCCAAAGAATCCTGCAAGAGGCGCGTGAGTTTGGAGTCACGGTATGGAATGTGGGACACTTTCCGGGACTCGTCGCCCAAGGCCGATATGACATTGCCGAGAGCCAACAGGCCGGTGTTGATTGAGATACCTTCCTTGGCACGGTCTCCGACTGCATTGGTTCGTTTCAGCTTAATTGCGTAAAATATGTCAGTTAATATGTCTGGATAAATGCGTGCGTGTGTGTGTGTAACAGAAGCAGGAATGGGGATGGATGATAGCTTACCCGTTCTGAGCCAGCAAGATCGACAAAGTGGAACTTTGAAGTGAGACGGCTGCCATCATCCATGGATTGCTTGAGGATCACCGAAAAAATGGCATGTGACCGTGAGGAGGAGCGATTCATATCGGTGGATGCTGTGGTACGTGCAATGGAACCCTTTTGCAGCAATCTGGCATGGATGACCAAATTTAGTAAGGCATACACAAATGCACTGTTTTATGCCTGGCAATAACAACTTACTCTAGCAGCTCTCTGGGACTGGCCACGGGCTCTTCACGCACACCCATCCAGCAGATGTTGCCTTGGGCATCTTCGCGAATGGAGACATGGAGCCCCTCGCCACGCTTGACTGCTGGGTTCAAAAGATCAACGAGATCCTCATTGTACAGCTCTAGAAAGGAGACGTACACTTCAGGCGACGTCTGGCGTTTGGCAAGTTCGCCAAACAACGAGTCAATGAACCGTGGCACAATGCCTCCAGAGGATGGCGAGTCTAGGCCGATGCCCATACTGTATGTTTTGCCGCTTCCTGTTTGTCTGTGGTGACCAATATAATTAAGGGCGTTTAGTTTAGTGTATTTGAGTAAAATACGATGAAAAAAGGGGGGCTGCGCACATGGTGGTTATATGTGTCAAAATGATGGTGACGGTAGTAGAACAACAACAACAACAACAACAACATACCCATAAGCAAGGATGGTCGAATTGTAGCCATCCAAGAATTTGTGAAGCAGCGGCGTCACGGATGTGTCGTAGACTTGCTGTTGGTCGGCGATGGGTGGGTAGGCATAATCGAATGTGAATGATCGTTGCTCGTTGCCGACGGTGATCTGAGGCTGATCGGGTATAAAGCTGATGCAGCATTGGTTCTGGAATTCTTGCTCTGTTAACGGCCGTACACGCACAGCGACTCTGAAGAAAGAGTAGAAGATGTGTTTTTGTTTTGAGTAAAACGAGTCAACAAATGATCATAGACAGCGCAGCAGCGGCAGTACCTGACTGAGGAGGATGTGGACATGGTATCTTTCATTTTCAGGTATGAGGTGGGTCGTGGTTGCTGTTGTTGTGTGTGCGTGTGGCGTGTGTGTGTGTGTGTGTGTGTGTGTGTGTAGAGATTAATGTATGAAATGGTGGTATACAGAATAAAGACGGATGCGATTATAAAGAAGTGCAGTGATAATGTACAAGAAGTAAGTAAGAAAAGAACAGAAAAGAGAAACGATGAAGGAAAGGGAGAGAGAAAGAAGAAAGAAAAAAAAGAGAAATGGAGTTTTGTCTCCTAATAATAACCAGCAATCATCAAAAAATAAAATGTAAACAGGCAAACCCAAACTTGGCAACCAAAACGCCAAAACTCTGTGCTTCACACAAAACATTCCGAACCAGCCCTTTACCCAATGAGCGCTAGTCCCTCTTTCTTGTACACATATGCGTCAAGACCAGTCTCGCTCATTTCCCCCATTGCCACCATTCGTCATGCAGAAGCAACTAAGCGAGGCTACCTGTTGCAGGCCAAAAGAACACATTACATGTTTCTGACTCGATCAACGAGAGAAAGAAAAAGCAGTAATCAGAGTAATAGATATATGCGCAACCTCTCACCCCCACCCCCAAAGCAGTTGGCTTGCAAGAGATCCACGATTTGGATACCCTAAAAGGTTGTAATCTCGTTCTTTTATCTAGGATAATGATAATGATGCTGATGATGGTACGGACTGTGGATGTTGTAGGGGACTAGAGCTATCAAATACATACACACACTGAGCCACCATCAGTACACATTGCATGCACGACCCAAAGGGAGAACAGAGGAAGCTTTTCCTCATCAAACTGCATCGGCGACAGCGATGATTTCCCAGAAAACCTGCTCTATCTTCATCCAATTTTATTGTCGCTCAAAAGAAAAAACCCTGAAGTATCTGTGCTTATACTTTTGTGCTTGTAATCACACATGTGTCTCGCTGATCCTTGTACACATTTTATGATAGCTGAAGTATACATAGTGTGTGTGTCCACCTCCCTAAGCGTAATAATAGCACTACATATTTCTATTAGCAGCAGCTGGAAGCAACATAATTATACATGTTCTTCCTTTCCATTGTTATCTTCCTACATAGTGTTCACAATGCACTCTTACACAGAAATAAAAAGAGCATGTAAGGAGCAAGGAGCTCTCTACCATAAAAGGTCACTCGAAGCCGACGCTACTACAACCACTACTACCACTACTCTAATGCTCTGCACACGTGTCATCTGTTTGGTTGCAATAAATTATGATTTGCATTAAAAAAGAATTGCCTTTTTTTAGGGAGTACTTTGTGGATAGACGAGTGCGTCCCGATGATAGAGAAAACGCTTCCTCGACTTTATTTACTATAATGATATGCTAGCCGTGCCCATCCTCGCTATCAAAGCTATGATAAGCCCCCATGATACTACAACCTGTATCCAGGTTTTTCCTTTTTCTTGGCTTTTTTATTTTTTTGATAATCATGGCAAGGTATACTCAACAATCACCAATGTATCATCACAGCCCTTTGAAAAGGGCGCAATATAAATTCATGCGACATGCTTTGTGATACCGGCTACACAAAGCTTCTATTTTCTTGTTTCACAATGACGACGTTCCCGGCGCTTATACCCCTTCTTCCAACACAAAAACACACAGGGCCTTTTAACTTTTTTAGTAAAGGGACTGGCTACGACGAAACGCCCACTCTCTCTCTCTCTCTCACATGGCCTGACGCGAAATCAATTGGTGCACAATGAGGAGCTATTGCCACCAGCTACATCCTTTTCTGTTGCCATGGTTCCTGTAGTATGTGGTTCTCGTTATCCTCACGACTACTGCATCTTATTGCTATGTAACAGATAGTACCTCCCATCATTTGACACAAGCTCGTCCTTTCATCCTCGTCATTAAACGTTACATCGTATTATAAACATAACAAGCAAAACAACAACAACAACAACAACAACAACAATCTGTGGTGTTAGGTGCACTGATCATTTGTCACACTTGCGCAACCTAAATGTAAGCACAACCCGACAACTTTTTACGCCATCACCATGCCTTTTATGAATTTAGAGTTTATTTTATAGTAGTGGGGTGTGTGTAATACGTGGGCCTGGAGTAACTTTCTTTTTTGGCGCCCATATCAACATGCTCATTTGTAGGTACTAAGAACAAAAAGCTGTTACCGCCAAGACAGTACATGCGTAGTGTGTATAGAGTAATACAAAGTCACCAGTAGCTTGTTTTTCGATTATTGACAATCCCCACCACCTCCCTTGGTACATGGGGACAGACGGATTGCTTGGGATTGTAGCTCTACAGACTTCGAATACTGTTGCTGGTTGCACATAGTTAGATTAGCAAGAAAGAACTTGCCCAATGCTCACCATTGAATGTACAACCAATGTAAAACGCCCGCAACATTAATCTGATCCTTGCTCGTGTCAAACAGAAACCTCTTCTTTAACACCGTCCCTTTTTCCCTCGCTCTTTCACTTTCTCCATGATAGCAAGTGCATATTGATTAAGCATCCTCACAGTATGAACCATCAACATATTTTGCATCCAACAAATGTAACGAATCTTTGAAGAGGTTACGAAGAGAGAGAGAGAAAAAGAGTTACCATTGCTATTGTATAGTAATGACACGAAAAAAATACAAATAAATTCTATATGTATCTATCTAGTAGAAGAGAAACATCGAGTAAAAGAGGAGAGGATTTGACCGTTTCTTTTACGATTAACTGAGGATCGTACGATTATTACAGTAGGAAAAAAACAAATATGTACGTATATAATTATGTTTAAATGAGAAAGAAAAGCGAGGACGATTATTTAAATCATATGTTCATCAATGATGTACGATCCAATAATGACACGTTCTGCCGTTCGAACGCGTACCATATATTTGCCATTAGGCAGCTTCAGATAAAAGTTGGAATAGCAAGCACTGGAGCTCAGATTGGAGGTGGAAGATAAAGCAGGTGTCGCCACATTGTCTTGTTCTTCTTCGTCCATGATATCGTCCTCATCGTGATTTTGTTGGGTTACATCTTGATAGTGCGCGTAATACACCTCATCGTCCTCATCATCGTCAGCGTCTGCAAAATCTGACATGGTAGACATTGTCATTGGCGGAAGTGTCGATGAACGTGGAACTACGAATGAATACATTGACCGTTGTTGTTGTTGTTGTTGTTGTTGTTGCTGTGGAAAGATGTTGATGAAATCCTGACTTGTTGCTGATGTTGATCGAGTTTTTGACGCTGCTGGATAAGTATGAGAGAATAACGGATGGTGATGATGGCGCCATTCTACGACCCTGCGGCGAAGTCTTGTCAAGCAGCTCTTCATTTTGAGCATGATGGGTATATCTTTTATCCAACAAAGAAAGTTAAAAAAAGGGTTTATAAAAAAGCGGCGTGTACTATGTATATGTCCTTTCTTTCTCTCTCTTTATATATATATATATATATATATATATATATCTATATCATCAGTAGCAGTATCGGTGGGTCACAGCAACCAAGGTTTATTTATACGCTTGCATAAGGTATGCCTTGTATGTGTGATGAATGTGATATAGTGTGTGTGTGTGTGTGCACGTATTCGGGCCGTCGAGCGCCGAGCTTATACAACAAACATGCAAAGAATAATTGGACCCCTGCTGCATGCATTTTGATCTGAACTTGACTTTTATCCCCTCTCTCTCTCTCTCAGTTATACAAATTTCATCATAGCTATTACAGCAACGTGAGCAAGAGAAGTTGTTATGTAGTTACAGTGTACTATCCTGTTGTTGTGCTTGCAGATGCAATTCTGGACCTATTTGTTTCCAGTACTGTCCCTCTGCTTATTTACCATCCTTTATCCCGCTCTTTGGCGATCCCGGCAAAAGACGCAGGGAATCGAGAATGTGTTAGCTTGATTGCCACTACCCTCCGTAATATAATTAGAAGAAGAATATACCCCAATAATAAATTCCATCCCTTATAATTGGTAGCGTAAAGGAAGATCTCCGATTCAGAGAGGAAGAAAAAAAGGGCTGAATATGTTTGCAGATCATAAAAAAGAACCCTACAGCTTGGTTTTAGCCACTTTGCTACTACTACTACCATGGTCGCGCGAAAATGAAAAATAAAAAAAAAGTGAATTCTCGGGGGATGGGGTTGCAGCATGTTCTCACTATGTACAAATGTTTATTTTTACATGTTTATATTTGGATGTGATAAGCTATTATGATTGTTTTGCTACATTATTAAGTAATAGCGTAGCAAAAGAATGGTGATGTTCAGTAAGTGATACGGTTGTTCCGCTAGAGTTAGCTAACAATAACCTTTCAATACGGACGTACAAAGCACAGCAGTGCCATCATAGTTGTGGTTCTAGTGGTCGATAACAAATCACTTAATACTACTGACATCTTGTAAGTAACGACAAAACGTAGAGCACATATACAAACCATGCTCTGTTAAAAGCAGCAATAACAGAGGTGCTTTTATTTAATATAATAGTAGCATGTTAAATGCATACTTCCCAATTGCCCTCCTCACTGACGTGAATACGTATAAACTGTAGTATACATTATAATATTAAATTGAATTACTACTGGCTGATATTGCTACATGGCCGAAAAGTCAGAGGTGTTTTGATACCGTTACTACTAAACGCGCTTGTCTTTCACTTGGAGGACTCAATGTGGTTTGAGAAACAATAATGCTTCATTGATTCAAACGGATGGATTGTCGAATGCACGAATATCATTCTAGACATAGCGAACAAAAAAAAACGAGCTGAGCCATCAATTTACGTTTTTTTGTTTTGCGAAGAAATCATGTCATTTTGGGAAAAGATGTCTGCTGTTTACGCTTCTTTTTGATACCATACCATTTAAAGTGAACACCTTGCATAAGGTTTGTTTGTCAGAACGTTTAATTCGGATCAACTCTACCGCGCTTGCTCATAGCGCATAGGTGCTGTTGCTGCTGCTTTGCCGCGTGCTCTCTTTCCTGCGTAATATCATCATCATTACAAATCTATTTCTCATGTCGTCCCTGTTCTTTATCCCAGGGCTTTTTTTAATGACCACATGACATTGATGTCTTTGTTGTTTCTAGCGTACTCACCAGCATCTATCAGAGCACATTATCTTGAGCCCCGTATTATGCACGACCCAACAGATCTTTCTTCATGGCCACTTTAATAAACATTCTCAATCATGTAGATAATGAAAGATTTACATACTGCCCCTCGTAGACTGCCGACACTATGTACGATTGAATTGCTTTTATATATAATTAATGATAAATAAAGTGACCTCATTCATCCGTCCGGTGCATGAGGGAGTTATGATTGATGTTGGCTGGCCAACCATTTTCATGTCATTAATATGTCCTTTTTCTGATGAACGTGAGGAACTCAACCCAGCACATAGTGGTGATAGTAGTCATCATCACCTCCAACGTTTGCAGCGGCTGAATTAGTTTATGTAGTCGTTCAATCATGCAATATCATTTACGACTGAAAAAAACAACAACAACGATAAACTAAGGGGTGTCTGAGTTGGGATTGCGTCAGTCAATTTCTCTCCTTCCTCCTACATACTCCTCTACTGTCTCAAATTCTGCATGTCATGTTTTCCACCACGAAAATGATGAGATAACACAGTATAGAGTGGTCAGTGGCCCTCCACTAGCAACATCAAATTGCATTTTCTTCTCGTGTATGTTGTATCACAGTCTATGCTATTGAAATTATTTTAATATAGACCGTGATGGATGCCACGCATCAAATCTTCTGGTGGAACACAATCAACGTACACATAGACATGTATGTAGTAAATCTTGCAATGCCATGATATAGAAGGAAAAAAAATCACATCATCAAAGTGAGATCAGAAGAAATGGGTGCCAGAGAGTTTGCTTTGTTTTTTTTTTCAATTGAGTGTCTTGCGTATTTTTTTGCCCTTTTTAGAGTCTTCGCGATTGTAACCATTCATCTGCTTCTAAAAACATACTAGCACATTCAACAGTGTCCTTGATGGCTCGGATACCTGCAACCAACCCTTCCCAGAACTGGAACGCCTGGACCAAATCTGACTTGACTGAGTTGCAGACCGGGAACGCAGATTCCGTTGCGGATACTGCTGCATTCTTATCCGAGTCATTGACCGTTTGCTCCAAATAATACTTGCTGACCAAACCCATAGCTACGTTCACATCCGATTGGTATGGCAAGCTAGATAGATTCACAATAAGATTTAACTATAGATTTCTCTCTCTCTCTCTCTCTCTCTCTTCACTATGGTATTCTATTTTTGCATAAAGTAAAAGAGATATATAATACCTGTCAGCAATGTCAAAGTAATCCGAGCGTTCTTTTTCGGCAAGGTTGTTTAAGAAGAGTGATAGTGCAAGCATTTCACAAAGGTTTCGGTAGCTACGGTTCAATGCCTTGATAAAGCTGTTGAATACCAACATGTCCCGATCCAAAGGTCCTTTCCATTGTGTGTTCTAAGTAGATAAAAGAGAGACGGGATCAAACAAATCAGTTCCTTGCTTGCTAACACATGTATCTCCTGCTTTCAAGAACTAAAATGACCCGCGCGTATTTGGGGTACCTTGAGTTCCATAGGTAACAATGACATTGCCCGACTAATTAATCTGATATGTCGTTGTTCAGCATCTGACAAAAGTAATTCATCATCAGTGTTTTTCTTTCATTTGTTATAACATTCAATCCAATCGTCATCGTCGTCCTCGTACTAATAGAAGCAGTGGTAGTACCATTTCCAGTAATTCGCGAGTAAGTCTTTGCATAAGGTTTGTTGGTTAGCACTTCAAATCGGATCAGCTCCACAGCACTCAACAAAGCTTCCTGCATGTGGAACGAGGGTTTCTTGTTTTTGCCACCAGCTGTTGCCAACGCAACAGTGAGTGCTTCGCCCCAGGGTGTATGGATATGCTTCGACGATGTCAACAGACTTCAAAAGAGAATGAAATTCGTGAGATCCACATTCCGTATCACATCACGTAGAGAGAAAGAGATAGTTAGATCCAAACTTACTCTCGAATTTCCAAAGTCTTCCACAACACGTTGGCCACGATTTCGTCCTTTTTCTGCAAGGCCTAAAACAATTTAAAACCTTCATCTGTTTAGTGCATAGTGAATTATGAGGAAATTCCAGTAAGTCTTTCATATAACCTTATCCGAAGGGGTCCGAGCAATCGTCTTTGCAGCATTTGCTTCGTTCTCCGTTGCTTTCATGCAGAATGCAATATCCACATCAGTGGTCTAAAGAAATGGAATCATGAGGGGACAATTTTGTTATTGTTGTTGTCGTTGGTCAGCATCTCAATTCGATAATTTTCTCTTCAAGTGAGCCCCCTTACTTTTCCCCCTTCCGAAGCTTCTTTTTCTTTCCTCTTGGCCTATTCTATCCTCCCTTCATCTCCTCCCATGTCTCACATTCTGTGTTTTTTTTTCAGCATCCACAAAGTCGTGGGTGACATGCCATGAACGGGTACTGTCATAAACGGTGTTTAGGAGAGTTGCGTTGCTATTGGGTGCTGAGGTACCGCCGCCCGCGTTCGAGTGGTTATAGTTGGGGTGATGGTGCATGATATGTTCACTGGATGGATCAAAGTAAAAGTAGCTTGCGATTTTGCGGCTTTGATAGAACGAATGAAGAGGCTGGGTCAACAAGCTGAGCGTTTGCGTTCGAATGCTCAATAATCCGAGCAAAAAGTTGCGATATTCGGTCGTTTCACCATTGTCCAAGGGTGCGTTTTCAATAAGAACACCCGATACCAGCGTATTAATCGATTGAGGACCAATAAGGCCACGCATCAAGTAGTAGTACAATTCGTCGGGTAGTCGATAGCCGATAAACTCGTGAATGTCGTTCGGTGCCATTTCTGCATTCAGTGGTCGCACTTCGCCCTCGTCGGTCAGTACTGGATGATATTTAATGACACATCGTGCGCGGCAGAACGTGTCCATGTAGTTGTTTTTCGATACGCTAGGGTCGTCTATGTATGCCTGGATCGTGTTGAATCCCGTCTTGTGTTGTTTGATTAAATCATGCACGTCTACATATTGTGCGTATGTGAATTGAGCACGCATTCGTTCTAATTTGATCCACTCAAGTTACGTGTAACTTTTTCCTCTTCAAACCTTTGAATGTAAAGCTCATGACATTGTGATTGAGGGCTGGAAAGCTGCTGCAGTACTCAAATCCAGCCAGCAGGCAGATGTCCAGGAACTGATCGTCTGATACGTGCAAATCCTGCAGCACGGTCTTTTTACTCATCCACAAATAGTTTCCTTTCTACACGAAAAGATCATCCATCAATGCTCGTGGCTTCCTCCTTTTTCCTTTCTTCTCTTCCGTGCTGTTCTTACCTCAAAGTCAATAGTCGTGATGATTTTATCGATATCAAACATCAAGAGTTCCGTTCCACCATACACGACATTGACAATCTGTTTAGGGTGCGTATACATGTATGCGAGCTGTAATTTTTTTAAAGTATTAAAATTATTATATTCTCTTTCTTGAACATTTCGCTTCCTCTCTCTCTCTCTCTTTCTCTATTTTACCTGAGCCCATGCCGAATAAGGTGCGCGAATAAACTCAACACCATTCTCATGCAAAATATGGAGAACCTGACTCAACATATCGGCTGGGTGCACGCCACCACTGTTGCTCCAGCTACCCATCGCCATATCTGGCCGACCTTTATCATAATAATCCCATCCTGCTGCGCGTTGTGAGGGTCGACGATCCTCATGTGAGAACGGTTTGTCTTTACGAACTATCGCCAGACCAGGAAACACAAAGATGGGCTGAATGTGGTTGGCTCTATGAATTTATAGATAATTCAATCAATGAACAAAACGATGTGTGAGTTGTAACGTTACTTTTTAGATCCCTTTTTCCACAGATGAGAAAGAAAATATATCGAAAACAAGAAAACAACGAGCTTACTTGTATGCTTTGATTTCTGTTTCAATGGAATCACGCAATTTTAAAGGCACACCTCCCATGGCCGACAAGGCAGGCTCTTTGGCAAGGATTTTGCGTAGCCAGTAGTTGCCATCAATGCCGAGTCTGGTGTCCTTGAGTTGTGGCACGCCGGATGTTTGAATAAGTCGCCTTTCTGCTGTAAATACTGTTATCCGCGCGTATGGTGGTGTTTGCATTTTTAATGGTTAGCAAGGTTGCAATCTGTTAAGCCCAGGATGGAGAAGGAGATGCTTACTGTCGAAATGTCGGATCGGCATGGTGTGTATGTGTGGTCGCGTCAAAAAGGAAACGCAGTGGCGGGCCCGATTGATTTTCGTAAAAGTACTTCTCCTCTCTCCGCCTGCTAATTAGACAACGCGGGTTGTCAGCAAAAAGCACCCCTTATTTTACATATGCAATTGCTATGTACCACAACTACAAATTGCTCATATACTACTGTCAGCGCATGGTTCTTACTACTGGCATACGGCGATATAAAACGAACGAGTAACCATCGAGCGCTTTTCTGTTGACAGCAAAGTAGATCGCACAATCATGCATATTAATATACAGCAATGCCTATTCGTGCTTTGAACCAAGCATTATGGCGTGTTAACAGAACAAGCTGTGGAGATTGTTGGTGACAATCAAGCGGAAGAAATTGATGATGTTGACCGGTTAGGCGACGCGTTACTACAAGACCTTTATCACCACTGTCATAAAAATACCACCCTACGACATGCGCAAGGAGTATGACCTTTTCTGGATGCGTTTGGCTATGGAACAGTTCCTGAGCTACTATCAGAACAACGTGGTCCAGAACATAAGTGAGCTCGCTAGTGAGATGGATTATGACATCCTGTTTTGGTCAGTTTTGGACCGTTGTTTCCAAATGCTAAGAACGTGTATAACAAGGTATGTTGCCATTTTTAATACCACTATTCATCGCTTATCCTCTTATTATCGCTCATACTAAGTTACGTTTATCTATTCAAGAGATCGATCTTGCGCTGCAACATCGTTACGTGTGAACGAGAACCGAGGTATTAGTGGCGCAGCGTGCACTGAACATGAGAAATCGACGACCCGTCCGGATTTGCTTTTGTGAAATGTCGAATACGGTTGTGGTGAAGTCGAAAGATCAGGCGACGTCGCAGCAACGAAGAAAGAAATAGTGGAAACTCTTCTCCATAGCCCAAAGACGATGAAAGACCTGTTGTTCGTGCGGCTTACGAAGTCGAGTTTAATGCAGGCGTGACAAAGAAGCTGCGAATTGTATGCTTTCATCACACCGGTAAGATCATATTATGATTACTTTAAGCTCGCACAAGCAAAAACTAGTACTGACCACTAGCATAATGACGACACAGGACGCCGGATGAAATTGTCGTTGATGGATTCACCAGCAGGATACATTTGCAGATTGATGGATACCGATGAGTTGAAGATTCCTTTCAACAAACGGTTAAATAGTTGCAAACATCTGCCGAATGCTGAAACTGACAATTCAAGCCAAGGTATATACAGACGAAACAGTGTTAGCCAAAGCTTTATTGATGCTCTTTATGTACATAAAAAGAAACAGATGATAGTGAAGGACGTCGTGCAGATCTTGGAAGGATACAAGGCTAAAACCGGAACCGAAGCCGATTTTAAGGCTAAGAGAAAGTTCAAAGAAGCCAAGACCATAATTCCTCCAGCATTGACAACGCACGCCCCAGCAGGTACCCAAAGAAAACGAAAGGTTTACCAAGTTGATTATCATGGCAATCGCTCAGAGATGCCATTATCTGTTAAAAGATGTCATAGACAGTTTTGTATAAATAAAGACGTGCAGCATACTTATTTACAGTGCTACACTACTCCTTCGACACTCAGATTCAATAACAACAGCTATCACATCGTGGAGCAAAATAAACGACATACTGTAGCTACTTATTTTGTGCGTTCTCCGAAAACTAAAGTAGCCTTAACGCGGACCTTTTTAATGTCAAAAATTATGATGACAGGCTATTGAAAGATTATCAAAATGTTTCGTTGTCGCGATTCGCGAACCATGTTCAGGGCACTATTATCACACAAAGCGTAGTATTGTGGGGTTGCAGCAGTTGGCCAAGCTTTTTTGATCAGGCATTATTGGTGTTTCAAAGTGAAACCACTGGAGTTTAGCGCGTAACTGTTCACCCCTTTCAGATGTAAATATGATTTGTGTCTTTATATAAGAGTTTGAGGACCGAATCGCCTTTATTCATTAATTACAATGATGTGTTGAAAAAAGCAATTGGGTTGTATGGTCAAAGACGTTGTCAGTGTGCTTAAGCATACATCCCAGATTTTCAAAATGCTAGTTACACAGTGTCTGCCGAAGCATTATCGAATAAGCTCAGCACCGGAAAAAAGAAAGTCAGACTATTCTTCTTCCAGTTTCTTTTTTTCTTTGTTCGTGTGGCCATGACAAAAAGAAGCACGCGCCAACAAACTCGCAAAGTCAAACGTCGTGCCATTGCACATGACAGCGACGACGACGGTGACATTGGCAATGACAAAACCAGCAATCACAGTAACAATAACGACAACAACCCCAGTAACGATAACGATTATACCTGGCAAAAGTTACTTGACAGCACTGAGCTAGCTTTCTCGCAAGGGGACTATTCTAACACGGTTCACAACGCATCACTCGCCACCGACGAATTGTTCAAGACAGTTCACACACAAGTTCTGGCCTTGCGCGCAGCAAGCTATGGTATGGTTGGCAAGTTTGACCTGGCTTTACAAGACGCTCTCAAGATCATTGACTATGCGCCTACATTGAGCAAAGGGTACCTCTGTGCAGGCGAGCTTTATCGTATGCAAGGAAAACCTTTACGTGCGGTCGAGATCTACAATAAATGTCTTGATATCGTCGGAAAGCAAGACAAAGGATACAGGGAGCTCTTGCAACACAGAGAAATGGCCAAAGAGCAACATAACCGACGTATCGATTTTGTCTCGTTACTACCATTGGAAATCATTTCTGACGTGATAACGCGGCTCTCTACCAACACGCGTAGCATGTGTCTGTGCGTGTCCAAAGGATGGCGTAGAAAAATAACCAAATGCCCAGACGTATGGAGCGAATTGGCTGTTCTTGATTTTGAAAACTGGGTTGAGCCCTCTGCTGTTTATACTATGCTAGCTCTCACCAACAACCATGTCAAAGAATTAACAGTCGAATGTCCGGACAAGGACCGTCTTTACAACACCATAATACGAGAAATGTTAAAAGGAGGCTTTAAAAGGCTTCGTTCATTCTCATTGTCACGTAAGGGCCTTTTTCATGTATATGATTGTGGTACGCGTAGGCTTTTAACATACTGTTGTTTTGATCATATTTTTAAGCTTACTCGAGTCTGTCTATGCACCCCGACATTGATACGAGTTTGATCCCCATGGCTTTGTGCCGACTCGACAACGCATTGGTAGATTTGTCGCTGGATTTCAGTGAACATTCCAATCCACCGTCTCTTGCAGCACTTATTCACGCATGTCCACAACTCATCCGCCTTAAATACAGTAGTGAATCGTGGCAACTGCTACGAAACAAGCAAGACCTGTTACCGGAAAACTGTAACCTGATTGAGCTTGATATCAATACTGGATCTGAGTATTTTGATGCTAGCGAAGCAGAAATTATCTTGAAACGATGCCCGAAACTACGAAGCTTGTATTTGGACAGATACCTGGAACAAGAGCTTATTCCGATTGTCATGCAGCATTGTTCAAAACTGGAAAGCTTTGTCTTTAACAAATACGATGGCTTTCAGGCACAGCTCGATCGATGGAAACTCGTCGATGGAAGCAACAAGACAACTCCTGGAGTACTGTCCAGACTCCACCTCTGTAATCCACATTACTTCATATCTGCGGAGGACATTGTTCGCGTTCTTCGCTGTGGCAACAACACTCTGAAGGAACTTTACTGCGCTTTCGATTACACTGATAGTATGGTGAATGACTTTAGCTACCCCAGACTTTCATTACCGCGGCTTACAGTATTCCACACGAGTGCCGGTGGATCAAGGGCGCAAAACGTCATTGCATCGATCATACGGCAATCGCCTGCAATCGAAGAATTTGATCTGCACGTTTACAATAAACAGATCGAACCTGCTATATTCATTGCGCTGGAAGGCTTACCAAGGCTACGATTTTTGGAAATCGGCGCCGATGACGTTGACGACGAGATGCAAGCAATTGGGATTACAGAGTTTTTCGGCCGACAAGCAACATTATCTAGCCGTAGAAACCGTCTAGAAGAGCTCCATCTCCACAGAGTATCCTTGACGAATGCCCATCTAACAGCACTGGCTAGCATGAAGACCTTGCAAAAGATTAGCTTGGATGAGTGTATACAGGCAGCATCCGTCCAGGAATTCAATTCGTTTATCGAGAGACTGGGTTTATTACCAAGCTTACAGACTATCAAGTTGGGTAATATCGATTATGTGACCGATATGACTCTCGAGAAGTTAGCTGGTAGCAAGTCGTTAAAGGAATTGGAATTATGGGATCTCGAGGAGATATCGGAACGAGGGATTCGCGGTCTGATAACAAATGCTAAATCACTGCAAAATCTCTGGTTGAAACGGTGTACACCAATATCAGTTGCTTTACAGGCCTACGCAGAAGGAAATTTAAAGCACTTTAAAATTGAGTGAACCTGTAAATATCACCGTTATAAAGAACGATAATAATAGTATGATAAGTGGAAAGTATAATACAATATGTGCTTGGAGTAATTGTAAAAGCTCGAGGGATGCATCCCTGTGCCGAACAAAGCATAACGTCACGTGTGTATGCCTGTTATTCGAACTCCTTTCCATGCACTCACTCACCTCTCTTTTCGTGTCATAACTGTCTTTTCCGCCCAAACCTCTTTCACTCTTGTTCTATTTTTTACTTCTATTCTTTTCCGTTCCTTGTCTTTATTTGCCTCGAAAATAGATGATCACTGCAAAAGCTTCCCAGCTCGCCAAAGATCTGGAGACTGCTCGATGCAAAGGCAATTGGGAAGCCATTCCTGTACTTGCTAGAAGATATAAAAAGTACAACAGTACCGGCGCAGGTAGAAAATTCAACGTTACACTTAAAAGTAAAAAAGAAACCGAACCAAGCCAGCGATATAATATATATATATTTTATATATATTCATACTAGTTTTGGAGCAAACTGCTCTCGTGGAAGCAACGCTTTCTCAACTGTCTAACGTATCAGAAGGAGGAGGCAAACCAAACGGCATTGTTCATCAGCATGACAATCCAGACACCATCACTTGGAAGTGTCGGTTGGAAAGCGAACAGGTCCGCCCGTTACTACTACAGCTAGAGTCGGCTCTTCAAACTCAAGATGATGGCGTTCCCGAACGCGAAAAGGAGGTATAAATACAGCAACGCGGATGGATCGTTGAGAGGGGGATTGGGGTGTTATCCATAGTGATAATCATGCTTACTATGTCTTTTTTTTCCATCCACTAGTTCACTAAAGTGGTATTGGCACGATGTTATTTTGAAACCGGTGAATTCAAAAAGACATTGGAAATAGTGGAGGAATTGGCCTTCAACCCGGGGGACGTTGCAGCTGGATACGGCCTGACTTTGTTCCTTCAGGCACGCGCTATGAAAGGCAAGTGACAAGATATCTATAGATTTAAGTTTGTTACCAATACGCACATGCTAATAATGGTAATATTTTATTTCCTATTGTAGCCATTTCCCAAGAGCAAACTGGAAATATGGACGCAGCTATGCTTAGCCATCAAGGCATCGTATTCCTCTTGAATGAATCGATTGAAGTGAAAGAAGACAGTGTATTTATTGAATGGGCCGAGGAAGCATTGTACAGGGCAACACTACTTGCTATGCAACACGAGTAAGTTATTGGGAGGATGATCTGAAGGTTGGGGAAATGAAATGCTTATATTTCGAGTTTTTTCTAGTTCAGATCACAAACTGACACTTGATTTCGTACGAGCATATCAAAAAGTAACAATGGCACAACCATTCTCTTGGAGAATCTATAAAAGAATGGTGATAGCAAAATACTCTGCTCAATACATTTCCTATCTCTATTCCGAAGACGAATATACCCCGCCCACTGATGTCCAAGGGTAGCTATTGAGCAAAAAAGAGAGGATTTTTGGAAAAGGACATTTCACGTTAAAAACATTAACAATTTTTATTCTTAAACGTGCAGAGCTACAAACCAGCAAGCATTCGCGACGGAAATTATGCGCACACACACGCTTTACGAACAAATGTTGTTTTCAATGGTCCAGTTTCCCAAGATTGGCCAAGGAAACTCGTTAGTTCTCAGCTTTGTGGAGCAACTTGCCAAGGATGTGGATCTCTGCGGAGCGACTCCAAGCCAGTTGAGAGGATTTATAGAGGTGAGTTTAAAATAATGTATATGATGCATTAGTGTTTTCGGACAAGAAGGAAGGGAGCCATTTTTTATACAATTATCTTCTCGATAGGTCCTTAATCGTGCAACGCAACGAACATTCAATTCGCCGGGTACCGTGCGTCACTTGTTCCTTACGCTGAATCGACTTGGTGATTTTGAAGAGGCCAAGCATGCCTTAAAAACGTATATCTATTTAATAGGACTGAGCTCACAAGCATGGGAGGAGGCATGTCAAACAGGCGAGGCACTGATCGTGGACAAATCCGGAAAATGTATACCTACACCGCCAGTGGAAGACGGCTTGATTGATAATCTCGTACGAGATAGCGTGTCGCATGACGGAAAGAGCTCTATCACTGCTAACCACACAACCGAAAACGAACCATTGGACAAGATTCTTGAAGTATTTTTGACAGCTATCCGAACACAATGTATATATCTTTGCGATGGCGCGCAAGCTCTCATTCTTGCTGAGTTGGCAAAAAAGAAACTTGAGCACGTACCAGAATCAGAAGAACCGGGTGGTTGGAGACGTCTGGCTGCTCAGGTTCATAGAGCGGTTGGTTCAGCGTATAGCCTTTTAGCTCGACAAAGTGAGTACCATTTTGTTCAATAGCACTGATACTATTAATACGATAGTGATGACAATACTAATGACCGTTGAAAAGCGCAAGACGCAACTCTCCGCTCCTCGTATTATGAAAAGGCTCTGGAATCCTTGTACGAATCGGCCGATCTGGATCCCGAAGCATGGGAAACATTCTATCAACTTGCCCTGCAACATGCCGAGATGCACGGTATCCAGCAAGCCGTTCAGACCATTGCGAAATCCTTACAACTCAATCCAGAGCACCTTTTGTCGTGGCATCTGCTGACGTTGGCCTGTTCATGCTCAGTACAAGACGATCTTCCTCGAGCCCTGAAAACGTGCGATATTGGCCTACAAGAATCGGAAGAGGCAGAAACATCAGACCAGGCAGAGCAGCGGATAGCTTTGCAAATTACTCGATCACTCCTTATGGGTGCAATTGACGGTCCAGAAAAAGCATTAGAGGCTCAAGAAGAGCTTTTTGCGGCGTATGGAAAAGTTTCTGCCCTTGAGCCGAGCACAAGCAGTGGAGAAAGTGTGTTTCAAGAACAGCGAACTGGATTATATAAGAATAACGGAATCGTAATATCGGGATCATTGGGCAACATGAGCGAGACACAATTATCGGAGCGACGGCGTCGAGGACTCAGCGTCAGTAGCAACAGTGTTTCCGGACGTGCTCAAGTGGATGAAAAGCATATATCTGCTTCTAGGTCCCATGATGATATGCGCAGTACTAGTAACGGACGACTCAAAGCAAGCATCTCATCCAGTAGTAGGACGCGATCTGCATCGACTTTCAACGGCAAACCAGAAGCAAAACCATCTCCATTTTTGACTGTCCCAAATCCGAACGACGACAACGCTGACGCAGCCAGTATCAAGACTGTTTCGACTACACAATCATCAAAGCATCACCACCATCATCACCATGGCCTACATATATTCAGTTCTCGTAGCGCTACTCGTCGATCCAAGCGTGATTTAACAACCAATGATCAAAGCAAGTCATCTATCTCCCCTGCTGCTAATGATGGTACACATTGAAAGAAGGATGAAAAAGATAACATCAAAATGAAAAGGAGCGCTGGGGAAACTTATGCTGTGTATATGGTGTTAGGTTCCCAAGAAAACGGATCCTTTACTACAGATACCTCCATGCGAAGTAATTCATTAAGCAGTATCCGTACACTCACATCACCCCGAATCCCTCTGTTGGCACGATTGCGGCAACAACAAGCGGCACGAATCCTATCAGATCTCTGGCTCCTTTCCGCCTCATCTTTTCTCAAACTGGGCAAAATGGAAGAAGCGCTCAAAGCTATCGAAGAAGCCGAGAACGCAGATTGGACGTCAAACCCACGCGTATGGTGCATGTATGGTCAATACATGTTGGCGAATGGCGATATGGAACAAGCCATTGACGCCTTCGAGAAGAGTATAGTGACAGATGGAAACGATGTCGATTCCCATGTATGGACAGCGCGTGTACATATCGAGAGTGGGGATCTCGATGTAGCAGAAGGCATTTTAGACTCTGTGACCAAGGGATCCGGCTGGGATTGCGCTGAAGCATGGTATAACTCACTTTCATTAGTTTAAGATATCGGAAGAGGCTAAGTGATTTCTTTTCAATATCTCATACAAATAATTGTTCAATTAGGTTCTATCTTGGTCGTATCTATCAAAGAACATCACGCGCGGATCGAGGCAAGGAGTGTATGATGTATGCACTGGAGCTTGAAAGCACTCGCCCCATACAGCCATTTTCCGTTTTGCCATGCTATGTTTGAGGATTTCGAAAGAAAATACAAGATACAAGATGTCTTTATTTACACACGATTGGTAGCAATGGTTTAAAAAAGAGGAAGGAAATGGAGGGTATTAGTATGGGGGAGGCTGCGAAGAACGTGAATCTTCATGGTTCAGTTTCCGCATCTCCAAGAATGCTCGCGAGAAAAATGGTCGAATTTCATTGATTTCCATTAAAGAAAGGTTGTTCATCTATAAAAACCGAGCCCATTAATATCTTTGTTCATCATTCTGCCTTTGCATGATTCCTCGTACTGGTGTATTTGCTTATGGTCCAAACTTACCCCCAAGTATCTATCATCGAGTACAGCAAGACCTGCTCGTGCTTTCGACTGCCTAGTTTCGCGTAAGTCTTTAAGATATCTTCGTATCTGTTCGCTATTCGGAACATCTTCGGGTGCACTACATATAAATTAGCATGAATGCACGAAGTTGGTAAACGAATACATATATGGGTAATCCAGTCATCTTACTATAAGATATACCTTTCAAGAAGCATCATTGATATTTCCATATAATGAAATGGTAAAGGACTAAACTCGGCGACCGTTTCTTCGTCATCAAGCAGCTTTTTCAAGTTATCTATAGCAAGCAATTATATTAGGTGTAACCGCGTCGTGTACAGCGCGTTTGTTCGCGTTTAAAATATATTTTCAAGAGGACTTACCAACACTAAGCCATTCTGGAGCCAATATACTGCACATGTGATGCTTTTTCAACATGAGTGCAAGCCAAAGTGGCACTTTAGCTTTCAGTGGTGGGCGAAATGGCCCAAATACGCCCTATAAGAGTCAATTGTTAAATTTTCTTTTTTACAATCGCGCACTGCTGATGTCCTTATTGTCAAGCGGCGAATATTTACACTAATGAACTGTAACTTTGGCATTGAATGCGTTGGAATTATTAGAATTTCTTCCTCCCCGGCAAGAAACTCAATTTCCGATGGTGTGTATGCTGCTTGGTGTGATCGGGGTAATGCCATGCTATACAAGTATGAGTGTGCTCAAAGAAGGTTCCAGGAACAGCAGCACCAGCGGAGCCGTGTGTGTGTCAGTCGGCTGTTCAGCATCAGATTGTGGCTGGTGGTTGGCTGGCATAATCAGAATGATCATGCATCAGGCTGTCATACTAATTCTTTGTGAGACCACATAGAAAATTCCATGCATTTTACTTTCAAGAGAATATCTATTTATACTGCTCATATTCTTCCATGTAAGCATAACATTGTTGTGTGCAGTAGGAGAAGGTACGGGGTGAATGAAAATGTCAGCCCTGACTGGACAGAATGGTCCAGGATTATTTAGTGATGTGTGTCGCGTTCTCACCTATTTGAAGAGCGGTTAATACCTCCTATCTTTTCTTTCCTTTCTGCACACACCAAAAACGATCTATGGGAGCGCTGTCAAAAAGATATTATCGGATTTGTAAGAGTGAAAACGTGCGTGCATGCATGAAAGGAACTCTACGTGTGTATGCTGCACACTTTGACTAATATCCTTTGTTTTGACATAACTGTTTTGTCTGTGATTTCAAACATTGTCAATGCATTTTGAGGACTTGAATGCAAGTAGTGCTGGAAGAACTTTGAGAGTGAGCGATAGGACTGGTCAAATGAAACTGTGTGTAATGTGTCTGAAGAATGTGCTGATTGTTCATTTGAGCTCCCTTTCCCTTTCATTTGACAGTCATCTCTCTCCTCCAAACAAAGTATGTAGCAAGTTGTAGGTGTAAACAGTTGGAAACTTGACATGGATAGGAAGAAATGCGTGAATGATGGCGGAGAGTTCTGGGGATAACGTGTCAAACGTGTATAGTGTGCTCAACAGCGTGTCAGGTAAGAGCCTTGACCATGACCTGTACAGGATGGCAACTCTTCTTCTTTCCAGCATTTTTTGGTCGTGCCTTCAGTGCTACTCCCCTCTCCAACGCAACGAAGCAGCAACGGTTAGTGTAGCTGGAAAGGATCTCGTGTCTGTGGTTGCGTGTCTGGGAAAATGAAAAGATGTTTGTCGTGACGTGTCAATAGTGTGTATGTAGTGTGCGCAGCTTCTCATGGTTCTTTTATTTCTCTCAGTGGCAGGCTTTGCAGAGGTCTGTTTATTTACTTTGTGATGGTCTCTCTCTCTCTCTCTCTATGTGCGTGCGTTGTGAGCATGTGGATGTACATGGAAGGACTGGGATTCCTTTCTCACGGCGAGTTACATAAGATAGTTTTAAATTATTTCAATATTATGAACGAGACGAAACAGAGTGCTCGGCAGATTTCCCTGTAGCATTGACCTGCACACAATGCGCGCCTGACATCTCCCTTGCTGAGGTCAATGCTGTACTCTGGAGTGTAGCGGAAACTATTTCCCAGTACAAAAACACAAAGCCCTTCACGAATTTCCGTAACATGTTGCGAGTTTTCTGTCAAGGATACCGAATCCTCATAAATCCCATACAAGATAAATGGTACCATTTTCGTTGATTACGTCAGGACGTTGCCCAGGCACTGAAGAGGAGAAAGGTGTAAAGCAGGTTATTTACAGCTACGGCGACACAGGTGCGTTGTCGATCCTTGGTCGATAAAATATTCATCTCGCCATCCTCGCGAGCGGCACCAATTGCTGACAGTGACAAGGCTAAGACTCTGGCATTTGAAAATTCGCTTGGCACTACGCAAGGTAAAATTGTTTATTTGATTTGATATATGCTGATCATTTTACTTGTTCGAATAAATATAATCGATTAATCGAACAACCAGCTTCTAGACGACTACTGCAGGCATTCTTTAGACCTTTTTACCGGGCAGATAAAAAAACATGTCTTTGTGAGAAATTGTTGGTCGCGATTAAAGAATGCAGCGCACCATCAGCGAGAAAGTTCCGTGGCTGCATCATCAAGGAAGTGCGTCAGCAATAAAGATTTCGATCTTCAAGCACACGAAGATGATAAGACGACATGTCCTGTGTTTGACGCACTAAACGTAAGAGCAGGATTATGATGGATTGGACGAGGAGTAGTAGGAGCAAATAAAGCCAGTAATTTGATCCGATGTACTTAGGTTGCGAATGGTTTCGATTCCTCTTTAATAACTGAGCAAGAAAGCAAGTGAGTGAACCACCGTTTTTTTTCTTCTCGCCTCTGGTGAATAATCTGTTTATGTACTACTTGGAATATGTTAGTATAAAGTGGTGAGCTTACAGAAATTTCAGCGGCGAACTGAAGCTACAACGCAGATGATTGAAGGAACAAACTCTGTTTACAGAGGAGGTGAAGGTGGATGAGGTGTGCCTCATAAAGAGCAAGGTACCAATTTCGCTTATGGAGTTCTCGGGCGGTGTATGGTAATGCAAAGAGCGACAGCAGTAGTCATCCACAATAGTAGTCTGTAGTTAAGATTTTGTGCGCTATGGAGCATTGATAAGTAATACTACTGTCATTCATTTCATTGAAATAAATGTACAATCGTGTAGGATTTTATAATGCTATCGTATCTGTGCGGCAGTTGCTGCCAGCGCACCGAATATATTTTTGAGGGAATTCGCGCCACCCTTTTACATATCTGATTTCATACAACATTATGTACTCGTGTGTATTTCACTTATGTGCTTTACCACATTATATGTCAAAAAACATTACATCCATTCACGAAAGAAGGCTCCGTTTCGTTACGTAATGCTGTACACATTATGTATAATATATGAATTTAGTTTATAATTTCCTCGCACAAGGCGCATACACAAGAAAGGCGACATACTGTATGTCTTGTGATCGTATAGAGGTTGCCAAAAAGAAACAAAATTATATACAATACATTATTAGTTTAAAACATAAATATACCATATTTGCCGAAATATCGTGACACGCCATAACAGAGACGATGGAAAGCTAGTAATAGTATTAGGAATTGTGAGAAGAAATTGCTCAGCTGTGGGAGTTTGACCATCGTCAACAATCGAGTTAGTTGAAATGGCTCTTAACAGGTCATCTGCTGATAACAGCATAAAAACAGGATCTTGACATGTTTGCAGACAGTACTATCATGAATGTACGCGTTCGCCGATAATGGGCCTTGTTAGATACATATAGGAAGTCATATAATCGACTAACCACAAAACTCTCATGTAGTCGCACGTGAAAGAAAGTAAATAAGATAATCCGATTGAAGGGATACAATAACAACAAATGACATAGCATATGTTGAGCCTCAATGTGGGTATAGCAACAAGTAGCCTAACCTGATAGTGCTGCTCACAAGGAATTTGAAATAATACAGCTTACTACGTTGTCCGACTTGATATCGGGACATGTTTTCCTACGCCTGTATCTTGTACCAGTTGTTTACGCGAAAAAGACGCTCGCCAGGTAACATGTCCATTAGAGCATTCGGTGATAACTTTTATTATTCTAGACAGCATTTTAGCTCAATATTTTAATTCTGCTCGCTCACCAAGAGTCTACAAGAGCAACAGGATGCAGAATAGTATATTAAACCGTCTCACGACAACGGGACGCCACGAGTAGGCAAAGGCGCGTGCCTGAAGCGATTAGTGGTTGCATAACGCAGTTCAGACGGAATACAGAATGCTATCGCAACCACATATGGATGAAGCGCAGACGGAAAAGAACGGACCGACTTTGCTCAGGTTACTTCGCTTATGCTGAAGGGGAGCGGGTGCAGGTCAAAAAACGGAAGGAGAGGCAAGAAAATTATCTCGGGAAACACAAAACGAGTTTGTACATGTGCACGGCAGCAGGTTGGCGGTCTTCTCACTGCCTACATGAGCTGTTGGTTGTTGCTATGGGAGGCCGTAACAGGTCTAGCTTCAGTGTATGGAATGATTATACGGAGCTGCTGCCCAAATTGTGCTGATTCATGAGACGCATAAAAAGACCGTATGCAGTGGGAGTGATACAACATATACAGAACGCTGTACTGTGTGTTAGTGCTTAAGCAGCAAACCCAAAAATAAGCAAGTTCCCCTACCACCTGTATGTATATCATGCCTACCAAGAAGGTTGGCGGGGTATCTGTCCACGGTAGCCCGTCAATCCTCATCAACAAGACGGGCACCTAAAGCACCCTGAACAACGTAGGCACCTGCTCATGTGGCTGTGGTGAAGGATGGCATTTAATTTGAGAGCGACTGCGCAGAGCTTGGAATAAAGTGTCCGTAGGACTTGTTCAATTGTTCTAGATTTATTGTAGAGCAATACTGTCTGTATTGACCAGAAGAGGCTCTACTGTCAACCATCACACATAGTGCACTCAGTCGTCCAAACTTACTTCGCTCCTCCCCATACAGTATTGTATTTACTCTTTCATTTATAAGCACCGCAAGGAAGCAACAAGGATGTAATAAAAAGCGCACCGTCATTATTCTTCTAATAAATTACATGAGTTTTAAACTACAGCAGTACCATATAAAAGCGTATGCACATTATATAATTTAATGTTTTTAGCGGTAGAAATACATATATCAGCTACCATAAAATCTAGCACTTTAACGGTGGTAAGCTGTTATTTTCTCTCTTTAATACTCATGTACATAACCACTAAAATAGTATCAGTAGCACTATTATGTCAAATATCATGTAATGAGTACCGCTATCAAAAAATTTCCAAGTATCATAGTCGATGGTGCAAAAAAAAGAAGAATAAAGGACGGTACTCGTATGTCATCGTATGGTGCCATGCCTGACAACTAACGGATCTGAGGATACCTGGTGATTTTGTCTTTCAGGATGAACAAACGGTTATTTCAGGCATTCGCTATGCCATAGATGCGTGATTCAACAAGGATGTTGATCCGCGAGACTCGGTAACATCTTCACATATGTACTGAGGCTCAAGAAATGATGGTCGTATTTGCAGACAAGTAAAAGATCATGCCAATCATATTCAAGTTTTCCAAAATATAATAAAGATGTCAATATTATAATGACGATGGTAGATAGAGTAGTAATGCTTTCAATTTAAATTACATGCGAGATAGCTAGTATTTTAATATACAGTAAAGGATGACAGTCGCACTATGTATGGTCTAAACAAAAGAACGGT